TGCGTTGACTGCCAGAGTCTTGGGGATGACAAGAAGAGACTGTGCGAATTCGCCAATGGCCAATTGCTCACGAGAACCCTGTAAAGCAAATGTTAGACACCAACATAGAAGAAAGGAAGATCGAACAATACTACTTACAACTGTGACTGCGAATTCCTCAAGGTAGATGTGAAGTGCGGTTTCCACAGCTCCACCGCCGGGAACAATACTTCCACTCTCCAAAGTGCGCTTGATGGCACAAAGAGAGTCGTGAACAGAGCGTTCCATCTCGTCTAAGCTGTACTCGTTGGCACCACGGAGGATAATGGAAGCCGCAGTGTGGATCTTGGTGCCCTTGATCAGGATACATTCGTCGTCCGAGATACGCTCTTGCGAAACCGACTCTGCGTGTCCAAGGTTTGATGCCTCGAACTTCTCATCTCCGTTGAGGTCAGAGAGGGTGCTGACCATGGTGGCACCGGTGGCCCTAGCAATGCGGCGCAGGTCCTCCTTCTTGCAACGACGGACAGCCATGGCTCCCTTCTCAACGAAGAGCTTGAGAACCATATCGTCGATACCCTTAGTCGTGAGGACGACGTTGGCACCAGACTTCAGGATCATATCAACACGCTCCATAACAATGCCGGACTCCCGCTGGCGGATCTTCTCCAATTGATCGGGGTCTTCCACTGTAATCTGAACACCAAGCTTCATCCGCTCCTTCTGCAGGTTCATGTCGAGAATGGCGATCTTGGCATCTGCCACGTGGGTTGTCATAGCCTGGGAAGCAACAGTGCAGTTCAACGCGTAACCGTCCACGAGTACGGACTCGGTGCCACTCTTTCCGTGAGCCTTAAGCAGGTTCACGGCCTTGACTGGGTATTTGACCTCGCCTCTCTGGTTCACAGACTTCACCTGCAGCATTGCGTCCACACACATGTTCGCAAAGAAATCGGAATCGGAACCGATGATCTTGCTGGACATGGAAGTCTTCGCAATGTTGACCAAGCTCTCCTTTCCGATATTATCCACCTTAGTCGTAACATTTTCATTCATATACTTGACGGCTTCGCGCAGGGCAAGTCGGTATCCGTTGATGATCGTGGTAGGGTGTATACGGTTCTTCATCAACTCGTTGCCTCTCCGGAGAAGCTCAGCGGCGATCAGAACAACTGAGGTGGTACCATCTCCGACCTATTGAAATTCGTATTATCAGCGTGTGTGACTGGGATTTGTGTGTTGTAGAGGCCCGTACCTCCTTATCCTGTTGTTGGGCCAGATCAACGAGGATCTTGCCCGCAGGGTGCTCAATATCAAGGAGAGATAGAATAGTAGCGCCATCGTTCGTCACAGTCACATCCTGCTAGATGTTAGAAGCTGCAACCAAGCTCTGCGGAGTTTATCGTTTCCATACCCCTATGTCGTCCACCATCATCTTATCCAAACCGGACGGACCGAAAGAGGATTTGATGACATTGGCGATCGCCTGTGTTGCCAGAACTGCAAGGAATCAGCTACCAATCCCTAACAACGGCAAAATCATCAATAATTCAACATACCATTCTGCTCACGGACATCAGCACCGGTGATTTTCTGCCCACCCAAGACTGTGCGAGACTGGTCAGTTTATTCCAACAGAAACGATAATCGATCAGATAAAAACTCACAGAGCGTATCCGCATTCCGCGGCGCCTCAAAAATGCCTGCCATATTTAAAACAGACGATGTAATATGAGCTATTCGAGTGCGATGGCAGAGCTGTCTGGCTTCGGGGGGGTGCTGTGGGCACTAAAAGTTCTGCCGGGGCGGTGTGCTAGTAATTTTCGATATCGCATCCCACTTTACGGAGGGGAGTCATACCCCGATTTCGCTTGCTTCCAATCCTTTTTTCGACTCGGGTCTCCCTTTCATTGTCTAGTCAGACGCTTGCTTCTTCAATATGGCTAGCCAGAACCCCAGCGACACCCCCGCCTTCGAGGGCGCCGCCCCCCAGACCCTGCCTGACCGCACTCAAACCCCCGCCGATGGCGAGGCGGGTGAGTCAAAGAACGCCGCCAAAAAGGCCGCGAAGCTCGCAAAATTGAAGGCCGATAAGGCTGATAAGAAGGCCTCGAACAAGGGAGAGAAGGGCATTGGCAAGCAAGAGGCCAAGAAAGCTTCTAAGAAGAAGGTCGATGGTGCCGCTTTGATTGGTATTGATGTCTTGAAGGAGGAGGACTTCTCCGGCTGGTACCAGCAAGTTCTCACCAAGGGTGATTTGCTGGACTACTATGATGTCTCCGGTTGCTTCATTCTCAAGCCTGCGTTGTTCTTCATCTGGGAGGAGATCCAGGAATACTTCAACAAAGCCATCAAGGGAATGGGTGTCAAGAACTGCTCTTTCCCTCTGTTCGTGTCTGAGGATGTCCTCCAGCGGGAGAAGGACCACATTGAGGGCTTTGCCGCTGAAGTCGCCTGGGTTACGCATGCGTAAGTCGTCCCCCAACCCTATAATACCTTCTTATACTCCAGTTGAACCGCACTAACGTATACTTCTAGTGGTTCGACTCCCCTCGAGAAGAAGATTGCCATTCGCCCTACTTCTGAGACTGTCATGTACCCCTACTACGCCAAGTGGATTCGCAGTCACCGCGATCTCCCTCTTCGTCTCAACCAGTGGAACTCAGTCGGTGCGGCCCCCGTTCTTTCTCCATACCCTCGAAATGTTACTAACATCAACAGTGAGATGGGAGTTCAAGCACCCTCAGCCACTGCTCCGCTCTCGAGAGTTCCTTTGGCAAGAGTATGTCTTCGACCCTCTTTTCTATTGAAAATAACATACTAATAATGTGCAGAGGTCACACCGCTCACCTGACTGAAGGTGCTGCCCGCGAGGAAGTTCTGAGCATCCTCGACTACTATGCCAAGATTTACCAGGAACTCCTTGCCGTGCCTGTTGTTAAGGGCCAAAAGACCGAGAAGGAGAAGTTCGCCGGCGGTAACTACACCACCACTGTCGAAGGCTACATCCCCGCCACTGGCCGTGGTATCCAGGGTGGTACCTCCCACGGACTGGGCCAGAACTTTAGTAAGATGTTCGGCATCACCGTTGAGGACCCCACCGCTACGGTCGATGAGAAGAAGCCCCCCTTGCACGTCTGGCAGAACTCCTGGGGTCTGTCCACCCGCTCCCTGGGTGTCATGGTCATGATCCACAGTGACAACAAGGGTCTGGTCCTGCCTCCTCGTGTGGCTGAGGTCCAGGTTATCATTGTTCCCGTCGGTCTCACTGCCAAGACCACCGAAGAGGAGCGTGAGAAGCTCAACGCCGAGGTCGACGGTCTCGTCGCCGTCCTCGTTGCTGCCGGCGTCCGTGCCGACAGTGATAAGAGCAGCTACTCCCCCGGCTGGAAGTTCAACCAGTACGAGCTCCGTGGTGTGCCTCTGCGCATTGAGTTCGGTCCCGGTGAGTCCGCCGGTCAATTTGTTACCACCGCCCGCCGTGATATCCCCGGCAAGGATGGCAAGGGTAGCATTCCGATCGCCGAGCTCGCTACTGGCGTTCCTGCTCTCCTTGAGACCATCCAGTCTGATCTGTACACCCGCGCCGACGAGCAGTTCAAGGCCCACCGCATCAAGATCACCAACTGGGATGACTTTGTTCCCGCTCTGAACAACAAGAACATTTGCGTCATTCCCCACTGCTTGACCGAGGAGTGCGAGGATCAGATCAAGGACATGAGTGCCCGCAAGGCTGAGGAAGACTCCGGCGAGGCTGAGGATGCTAAGGCTCCCAGCATGGGTGCGAAGTCTCTGTGCATTCCTTTCGAGCAGCCCGAGGGTCTTGAGCAAGGTGTCACCCCCTGCTGCAACCCCAAGTGCCAGCGTCTGGCTGAGAAATGGTGCATGTTTGGCCGTAAGTTTCTAATCCCATGGTTTTTTTCCCTTATGATTTATGACAAAACACTAACTAACTCAATATAGGCTCTTATTAAGCTATTATGCTGCATCCATATCAGGTCTTTCATCTGCTGCCGCCAAAACTACCATGAAGTCCGAAGCACCAGTGGTCGTTACCACCGAGTACTGAAGGCATCACTCTCCGGTGCACAGTGAAACAAGGCTGAAGCATCAGACTATACGGCATTTTCTTCTGTGGGTTCCAAGGCGTCCCTTCGATATGTTGAGTTGTCAATGTGGAGTTTAAGGGGAAATGGCAGGTAGTGGCAATGATATTATGAAAATGAGATATGTCATTATTGCTTTTCTAAGATTCCCTTTTTTTTTCAATCCGGGTGGCTCCTTTGATATCCGCAGCCCCGTAAACTAGTATCGGGCTAACAATAAACAGGATATAAATAGCACAAGATATCAGCCCTGGGGCATCCGAAATCCCGAAATTCCGTGCCCAAAACCCTGGCTGAGCCTCTAGCCCAACGAGAATCTGAAAGCTGAAACAAAAGTGAATTCAGTACAAATATGATCATAGGATTGATAGAAGACATCTAGAGCTACATGTATATAGGATCATTTGGCACATAATACTCCTTTCATGAGGGAAGAGCCAATTATCTGCAGAGCGAGTAATATGATACTGATATATTTAGCAAACTCTATGGAGCTTTATTATACAGTGGTAGTAATGATGACAAGAGTATTGACACGACAGGAACTCCGGCCAAATTATGCAACCGCAATATAAGACAAAAGAAGCAAATAACTGGAGGTTGGCAGAGTCCGAGATAAGGCAAGAGAAAAAGAGAAAGATTGAGAGATAGACTTGGGTTAATTTAGACGGAATATATGGATACAAGGTGTATGAGGTTGACAGAGAGAAGGATTGACCGGCGTCATATCGAAGATTGATTCGACAGGGCCAAGAGAAAAAGACTGCAAAGGATTGAACAGCTTTTTTTTGGAACGAAGGCAAGAAGACGAGAGAGAGGCAGGAAGAAAGTCATGAGAGCATCGTTATCATGCGGCAAAATGGAAACATCCCCGCCCGAGTTGGTGAATCGTTCCAAAAGAACGTCGATTCCATCCTAGTAAGTCTCAACCGAGCGCGAACCTCGAAGCTGCATGCGAGCACGAGACAACGGCGACAGACTATTCCCGTAAGGATTGGAGGCACCACCGCGGCGAATCTGCTGAGGCCAGTACATGAGTTTCTGCGCCTCATCTGGCGAAGCAGCATCAATGACATAGCGGATGTTATTCTCGTCGACGCCTTCGATCTGCACACGCGGTGGGGGACTCGGGTTAGGAAGGTGGATGATATCATCGTCACTATCTTCATGCGAGGAATTACTCGAAGGAGCTGAGTGAGCTTGCATGCAGTAGACTGTGCCGGGGACAAAAGGCACATCAGAGCCCGAACAAGCCATAGCAGTGAGGTTACCGATGGATTGTGAGCGTCCTCGCTTGCGAGATACAGAGGGGCTTGCGCAGCCGCTAGTTGAGATAGGTTGCTGTTCGCTGCTCGCATGCAGCACGTCGAGGTATGTGATTGGCTCTCTGGATCCGGGGCGGGTGATGACAGGCTCTTCGTGGGGTTGGAATTCGGCCAGGAAGCCTGGGGTTGGGGCTGGGGCGTCGGTGTGTCGACGGCGAGCGGGGGAGCCCGAGACTTTTCGTAGGAGGCGGTCGTAGCCAACGCTGGTTGAGATGCTACGGCGGGATTCGAGGGTGCTCTTGTGCTTGGATGAGCTCTTGTTCATGAGCCGGTTCTTCCCTGAGGAGCTTCGGTGAAGTGTGGTTGCTAGTCGGAAGTCGTTGCTGAACTCGTTTTTGTCTGACGCGGGCGTGAATGGAGGCCCTGGGGCGGGGACGGGGACTCGGCGGAATGCCTCGTGGGAATTGACCTCGCGGACTATGGCGTCCTGCAGCGTCTCGTACGTTGGATGGGAGCCTTGGATAGACTTATAAGCCTTGGTGAAAAATTCCATCATGTCGGAGGGTTTAAAGCGCGATGATTTAAGGGGACTGATGGGGGTGGAAACTGGCAGAGGACTGTTCATCACTTCTGCGATGCTGGGACCCTGTTTCAATTCGCTGGTTGAGGGTGTTGGCGGCTGGATAGCACGGTGCGCAATTTTAGGGCGTCCTTTGGCAGCTAATTGCGTATTGATCGAGAGACCTCGCGCATTCTTTTTAGAATTCGGCTCTGTTAACTTTGGCGGAGGGAGCGATATTTGTGTGCTGCGAGCTATTGTAGCAGGTGGTCGTGGCACCGAAGGAGCCTCGACGGCGCTTTTACTATCACCCATGGGGATAGGAATTGTAGGGCTGTCAGGCAGCGGAGTGTTGCTCCACCTTTTTCCTTGTTTGTAGGCAGCGGGAATACCCAAACGCTGGACAGGAGTTGGGGGAGCATCTTCTTGTGGGACAAAGTCTTCGTCCGCAGACAGGCTTGGCGCAGATCTCTGGGATTTGAGGCAATTGCCAAGTTGGGACTGTGGTCGTGTAGATGAAGTACCCGAGCCATCATGGGAGAGCTTTTTCCGTAGATTTTCTGCTGACGCCCAGCTAGGCTTCCCTGGATCCCGCTTCCTGGCATTGCGCCGTTGGCTTTCTGGAATCTGTACCCTACCAGGCGCAGCTGGTGATGACCGAGAACTTAAGTGAGACAAAGAGCGACCAGGGCTGCTATATTTCGCAATATTTCTGTCGGCCACATCCTCTTGGTAAAGCGCTGAGAGTATACCCGACTTAGCAAGTCCATTGCGGCATTGGATCCGTAGAAACCGGGTCATGTTTCTTTCCGCAACATCTTCGTTGTATAGGCTGGCAGGAGGAGAAAGTGGTACCGGGGTAGTTGTTTGATTATTCTCGGTAGAGAACAGAGCATCCATCAAGTCGATATGTCGGCCATTTTTGGGTTTTTGGGGTACGAAATGAGAGCTGAGAGGCCGTACTTGGGATTGAGAAGAGGTCGACCGTTCCAGTCGATCATGTAGATCTTCGAATTGCTTCTCGATCTGATCAAAATGATGAGCCACATCTAGTGACTGCGAATCTCCGGACGGGAAACCACCCTCGAAGTGACTTTGTGTAGGCGAGTCAACCGCCGTGTGAAAGTATGGTTGATCTATACCACAACCCTCGAGCCCAAGGCTGGTTGCTGGACGAGAAAGAGCCTTCTCCACCAGTAATAGTTTCTTCAATCCAACCATTTTGAAGATATGAAGTAGATATCAAGCGCAAAACCGGCGCGCAATTGAAAAAGGAAGGGCAACGGTAGTGTAGACAGGGGGGGAAATATAATAGAATAGTGTCAAGCTAGTTATTAAAGGAGCGACGAGACCAGCGGTCATAAAGAATTGAACAAGTTGATGTCATAGCATCCAAGCTCGAAGAATTGAAGCTTGTCACACGGTTCAGGTGTCATATCATAGTGGGAAAAAACGGGAGAAAGAAGAATAATGTCAAGTCAAAGGCCCAAAAAGTAGAATAGGGCTCTAGTATCCTATGAAAGCAGAGCGCAGATCTATCACCGGTCTTGTGCCTAGGTCAGGGGAAGTGACCCGGTCTTCTCCATGATCCTAAGATGAGGCGCGACGATTCTAACGCTAAAAGTTTAAGAATATCCGATGCACACTGTCTTTTTTTCTTTGTTTCATAATTTACTTCGGCACTGCTTCGGCAATTGCAGCTCGAGTCTTTCTCTCCTTTTCGAGACCATTTTGGGGGATTTCTTTTACCCAACACTCATATCTTGTGAGATCCAGACTGCATCTGAATGGGTCATTTCTGCAGCGAGTGGAAATTTCCTTGTTCTCAGGAAACGTTCAGGCTGCATCATAGGCTCGGAGCTTAAGAGCTGCCCCATCCGTGGCTGTGATCCACACGTGAAGTTTTTCTGACAGGAATCCATATTTGGGCGATGGGCGAGAATTCGTTCTGGTGATTTCCCATTGATATCCACCAGCGATCGTGCACCAATCAGCGATTCATTGAACGGTTCCAATGTCTAATTACGTCGAACAAGAGAGAGCGATAGTGGATTCGGGGCTTGAATTGTGGCATCCGATGGAGTTCCAATTTCCGCGCGAGCCGGTCATTGGTGCGACGAGGTGATCGCCAGACCGTGAGCCGTCTAGTTAGCGGGAACACACGAACCGAACACCATTTTGGGCCGGGCTTTGGTTGAAGGAAATAAAGTCGGACGGAGCAATCCGACGGGTATGGAGCTGCCTTAGACTCAGAGACAAAGAAAAAGCAAAGGTAGTTGAGAGCGGATCTCGGATTCATTTCCGCAGAAGTGTAGTCCCGTATATGTTGTACGTACTACGGTATACTACGGAGGTACGTAGTATTCCGTACTCTGTTCACTACTCTCAGGGGGAAATTGCACACTAGTATACAAGTCGATCTCTCACGTTCAACCTTGGAAACCCCTGTGGAGTTCTCGACTCCTTCAAGGTCTATTGTTGTACTCCGTACGGAGTACTCGGTACTTTATGCGACATATTGTACGGAGTACGATGTACCCATATGTGGTATATCGCGAACTCCTTAGATCCGATATCCCACGATCGATCGATTCCCTATATTCTCGATTCCGATGGGTCTTGTACTAGATCGGCATAACTTGATTTAGGGGGAAGCCGGACATTTAACCGTTAAACGTTCAACTTTATCTACCCCTTTTTTTTTAAAAAAAAAAAAAAAAAACTAAAAATGTGCTGAGTGTTGTCTGATTTAATTTGACTTATATTATTTATTGTAATTGGTATGGAGTACACATAAAAGGAGAAAAATAGACAGATGATCAGGCAATGAGACTGCTGTAAGAATGATGTCTTGCCCAACTCGGTGCTGTGGCAGTGGCGTATCGTGTGTCCGGATGAATATAAAAGTCACTCCTTCTATGTTGTATAGTTTAACAGACAATAGGTACGGAATAGACTGCCTTGTGATATGGAAAGCAGTCCATGCGTACCCAGTTGGAGTTCTCCACTTGTTGGCGTTATGAGCAATTCACAGCCAACTTCCAAGGACGAGGGCCAAGCATCTTACTAGAGTTAATAATCAGACTCAAGTGTCCAACATATACCATCGGTTCTTTGTTGCTATGTCTGTACCCCCCTTTTGTATGTTCCTCTACTTCGTAGTCGAGATACACCTACTCCGTAGAGGTGCTCCGTATACGTATCGGTGTAACACATTGCTGGAGAGATTAAAACCACGAATTGTTTCATTCGCTTGGCATTATACGTATGTTGTAGTAAAGGGGTCTGGTCACCAAAAGCCACTCACTCCACCTTTCGCATAGCCCGGTAGCCTAGGGGACTATGTTAGACAAGGGTTTCGTCTCTAGTAAGACAATAGATGAGTCAACAAATCATAATGGGAAGTAGAGGTGGGTTATATGAAGGGGGTTGTGGTCACGGTAGACAACATGAACTGTATCGAAGTCTGGTGATGGCGGCCACACCCATGGCCAAACACTACATCTTCTCGCTTTTTAGGGTACGTCTAGTCCTGTGACACAGCTTCAAGTCGATCGTTAGATAGAAACACCCCCAAAAAAACTAGCTTATTGCTACATCAATGATAGAGCCTGTAAACTTCATTCATTCGTTATGTGGTGTGACTATCTTAAGACTTAAGCAAAAGACCTAGCGATAGATTCCCTCACAGCCTCGGCCAAGACGGTGTTAGCGCCACGAGCCGCATCGACAGCTCCGTCAATCAAAGCTTCATGACCCGTACGCCCATCGTCCTTTTCAAGAGCTGCCCTTGAGCTATCACCCTTGAGCCAGAGCTCAGTAATCTCATCGCGCGCAGGCATATATGCCACCACACAAGCCGACAGAATTGATCGATGTTCCGCTGGATCAATGTCAAGCATGAGTCGTGGGGCAGATGATGCGGATTGATTTGGATCGTCCGAAACCAGAGCAGCCACGCCACCAGACACAAGGTCAAGACAGTCAATGTGGGCATCGGCAATGGCAGCAGAAGCCGCTGTGATACAGCCGGCGAGAACGTTCATCATTCCCCACGACGCATCATGCGAGTCCGGGGCATCACCCCACCAGCGGTCATCCTCTGCTTCAATGATTGTAACAGTGATATCGAGACCACTCTTGGGCCAGCGCTCTGCAATGATTGCGCCACGGAGGGCGGTCTCTAGATGTACACCAAGGTCACGCTCACTGGCATCACGGATATGTCCTTTCCGTTTGCGGGCGGCGAATGGCGCGTACTTAACATGAGTGGTGAGAACGAGGTTTGGCGAAAACGCAGCAGAGCGGGGGAGTGGCTTTGGTCCGTGGACAGTGCAAGCCAGCTTGAGTGCTGAGGAGGGCGGGATCAGAGATTTGGGGTTGGAGCGGGCGGCAGCGAGGGAAGCGGATGGTTCAAATTCAAGGTATGAAGAGCCTGAGGCAGTTGGGATCAATCCAGTTTTGAGAACTAGAGCATTGAGAGTTAGCTGCGATCAACAAGAAACTTGTCGGCAATTCATACAGATTTTCCGTAATTCAGCGGGTTGGCGCTGGCGCAGGGCGCGGTTTGCAACGCCTGTCGAGGATTCTTGGAGGGATGCAAAGACTGGAGGTCTTGTGCCACCAGGTGGCCCATTGATACGTCTTCTGTCAGCCATTTTAGGTAATTTGGGGCAATACTGAAGCTGTCGAGAGATCGCAATGGTTGCAAGTCCCAAAAACGGAAATCTTGGGAGTTTGCACTGTTTGTAGGCCCCACCGACTAGCGCCGTTTGGGTTTTTGGCGACTTTTCTTCAATTTTTTGCTCTTCCTTTGCTTTCTCTTCTTCACACACACTCTGCAATCACAGAGAAAACTCCATCTAATGTCGATGGAGTTGACTCTTGATGATAGTTGATATTTCATCACCATATCTATCACTAAGATGCTAAACGTGAGTACCCTTCAACCCCTCCAACCCTGTCTACATGATCGAGAGAGTTCCAACTCCTGTTTGGCGACAAAAAATGGGCCATGAACAAACATGCATCACCATCTGATAATGACAACAACTTCACCATTGTCTTGCAATATTTCACTGCTATTCATCAGGGACTAACAATTGCTTAAAGACAGGAATAAATCCCCTCTTCACTTTTTTGGAGTACATTGGGAAGCTCCATGAAAATTTGAACTAATAAGGTAAGACACCACTTTTCCCCCTTGCCTTTCCCACCTGCACTCATTATGATGAGAAAACATTTTCAGTTCTGCTTCTGCAAAATTTTTGAAGATAACAAAATACCTTACCAAAAACTCCTGATCCTTCTTGAGTCATTATCATTGTCTTTCAACCATCCTGTCAGTGACAAGAGTGCTGACAAGTCAAAAGATCTAGCTGTAATTTTCACATCATTGGTACTCTACCTCTCTATCTACCCAAAAGGTACATCAATTGTCTTTCTTCCATTGCACGTCTCCCCCAGTTATTATGATGACAACCAGTCTATCCATTCAACGACCTCTTTGAGGACCGCCCCTCAGGTTGCACCCAAGCCGTACAGCATTGTGAGGAATACAGGCGTCGATCCACTGTTTTCCATCTCCCTTATACTGGACCTTTTGTGCCTTCGGGTGTGAATGGGAGGAAGGTTGTGGAGCCTGGAGGCTTTGGGCTCGTCGTCGTCTGATTACGTTCTTTGCATTGCTGTCTTGTCCGCGGCATGGTACTGCTATACTTGGCTTGTGTTGGTTTCCTAATGCTGGGCTGCTTATCCGTCTTGGGTGACAGTTCGGTGCGAGGGGCCAACAGGGGATGGGATGAGTTAAACGGCTTGACTGAATACTATATACGCTTCCACTTTTGCTTGCAATCGTGAAGCTATTCGTGCCTGTTTTGCTCCTTCGGGTCTTTCGGACTTTCGCTGACAGCATTCAAAGCTTTACCTAGGCCTGCACTTTAGAGTACCATTTTATATAATTTAATACAAATACATGAAAAACACATTTGCATCGCAGTAAACTTGTCTGTCGCACGTAGCAGAGTAATCAAGTCCGAATGCGACTGGTGAAGCTGCATGCTAACGTTCGGATATCTTTTCCGATGCGAGGTAAACCTGATAGAAAGGTGGAAGCAGATACGGAGTAGTCGAAGTCACTTTCTTTGGAAGCCCTTAGGTTATAGGTACTCTGCGCTCTGTAGTCCATTAGAACTACAAGCCCTGATGAAGATAGCCACTTTTTACTTTTTATATCCACGGTATTACCATTAGTTCTATATCTCATTCTCGCAAGAGTCCTATAAAATGAAGTCAATTATCACAAGCAAAGCAATAGATTTCTCTTAAAGCTATGTACGACGAAGTAGAGAAGAAAAAGTAATTGGCCTATAACCAAAACGTCCCCAAAAGGCAAGACACATGAAAATCACCACTGCCACCCACCAACCCCTGAAATCTAGACAAAACCATCATGGGAATCATTACCTTTAACCTCGCATGATCCTTTACATGCAAGGCAAGGAAAGCAAAACAGGACAACTCCTCTTTTCTTCAGAACAAGATTTTTCTTAATTGTGACATCTTTCTTTTTTTTGTGATTTTGATTTTCTTTTTTGCCATAAAGCATTAATTGTCGAGCGCCAAATCCACTTGAGATTGACACGTCTCGTTCAACCCCAGTCATCCCCTGCCATCGTGGAGGTATGGCTGGGTTGGACGTATTGTGAATCTGCCATGAGGAATCATTCTTTGCTCTCCTCAAGTGGCGTTGTCGTTCCATTGGATCTTGACATGCTGTAGGGAGCCTGCATCATTGACAAGTTAGCTTTGGTCCAACAGCCAAATTCCAGTCTGTATCTTGATACTTACGAGAACTTTCTTGGCATTGCAGATTCTCCAAGCCAGATTCCGCACGTTGCCATCCGATTTGACAACCTCAGGGGCTAACTCGATACCAAACCTGCGCGACAAAGGGGTCAGAATATGATACATAATCGGAACGATAATCAAGAAAGGAAACTTACATCTGATGAACCGCAAAGACAACACGCTTGGCAAACTTGCCATCACGTTCCACAAGGCTACCGAACTGCTCATCAACAGTCTCCGGGGCAATTTCAGGATCACGATCGAAACAGTTACGAACGACCGGCAACAAGGCATTCTCAACAGCCGATTCCACGAGGGAATCGCCATCGGCAATAGTTTCATCCTCATCCGACCGGCGAATGAGAATCTCAAAGGGTCTCGAGATAGCCATGACATTGTGCATGCCGTTGTGGTGGTAGCGGAGTTCGAAGACACCCTGGGTCCAGAAGAGTTTGTCACCAGAAAGAAGGATCTCGCCAGATGCGAACTCGCAGGGCTCCTGGCCGTGATGCTCGGATGACGGGATAACAACATCACTAGTGAGGATACCCTTTTCACAGGTCGAGTTGTCGTATGCACCTTCGTTGGTTGCAACCCAGCGGCCTTGCGATGATACACGAGTGACCTCTCGCGAGGTGTTGTCTGTGACCCGGTAAAGACCAATCCAATCCTTCTTGCTGTGGTGGAGCGGGGCAGTCCATTTAACCTTGATCGGGGAGCCGTATTCAAATGTCAAGTCCTTCAGATCACCGCGGCGGTCCAGGGGCATGCGCGCGTTTGCACCTTCACGACCCTTGTTCTTTTCGCTCTCCTCGAAGGACAGAGCATGGGTACCTTCCACCGACAGAGAATAATCGCGGACGTCGAATCCAGCCAGGTCTGCATCAATTCGGGAGATGGTGACGCGAGCAGGGTACTTTTGGAAGAGCGCAGTGGTGTCTTTAACAAAAGTGTTGACACCCGCGGCAAGTTTGGGTCGGGCGTTGTCAAGCATCTCCTCAATGAACTCGAAGGAGTCATCGAACATCTTGTCAACACTTCCGTGCAATTGCTTGAGAGAGGGTGGCAGTGACCGCTTCAGACTCTTGACGAGACCCGCATCCTGGCGAAGGCTACGACCGTACAGCTTCTGCATATGAGGACGTTCGACGAATTGAATGAAAGCCAGACTCAGGATGTGGCTCAGCAAGGCGAGGAAAGTGACAGCTCCACTACTGGTGATCAGAACAGCACCCCACACGCCTGCGAGACCTAGAACACGCTCTGGGTTGTTGAGGAAGCGGTAAATGCCATTGTAAGTGAGCTTTGGAGAGTCATCGAAGAAAAAGTCTCCGTAGAACCAGCCAAATTCACCGAGTGACTCGTAGATGCTGACCGAAGTCCAGATTTGCAGACTGATCAGGCCGGCTCCGAGCACATGTCGGAACAGAACCAGACCATAGCCCCAATCGGCCGGGAATGTGTACATCTTCCACACGGCAGCAATAAAGCTAGAGTAACACAAGATCATACTGAGATGATAAGTGCCCTTCCATTGGTTCCACGCTTCCTGCGGCGTGTCGCCATACTTAACAAAGTGTCTTGTCCAAGACTTGGTGTTAGACTGGTTCCGAAGGATATACCCAATGCCTACGGAATACCAGATTCTGGAAGCGGCAGCGAGCACCACGAACAGCAACTGATACCCTGGTGTAGATGGTGTCAAAGCTGTAATGGAGAATACAAGAAGCTGAACCAGCATGATTGATGAATCCGTGGTTCTATACAAATCCAGATTGTGCAATCCCAGGAGGTTGTGGACTGGCTGCGGCGGCTTGGCCGAATACGAAGATGTCGCGTTGGGAGCCTGGTCTTCAGACGGAGTTGGCGCTGTCGGAGTGTCTAGATCGGTGGGCAAGTTGGAAGAAGAATCCGCACAGGTAGAGGGGCGCTTTCTGGGTGGTGGCGGATTATAAGTCTTGTCGATGTGCGGGTTCTCCACAAGAACGAGGAAAATGAATTGTGCTGCATGGGCAATGATCGAGATGAGTAACACCTTATAGCTGGCTGCCATCAGAGAGATTCCGTAGTAGCCCGCATAGCCAACTGAGTACATGGGATGAGGTGCCATTTCGAACACGCCATCGAAAGTCAATTCTTGGTCAATGAGGTAGAAGAAATCACCCCAATACCAGGCATAGTCCTTGACCACTCGATGCGCATCCAGTTTGACCCAGAGGTTAAACAGCACTAACACGATACCTGCGGACCACCGGAGAACTGTCATGAGAATACTCTCGTCGACGGGTTGGTGGCCACAAGCTATCGCGAAAAGGCAGTAAGAAGTGAAGTCACACATGAGGATCAAGTCCACCAGACGCCTAAACACAAGCCAGGTGTTGTATTCAATTGGAGCATTGTCGAACGAGTAATCCTGCGGGATCTTGGTCTCCAGTTCCCGCTTGATCCAATTATACAATTTAGGGTGGGGGTTTTCCCCAGTGGCTGGGTTGACAAAGACCTTGGTCTTCTCGGCCCATCGAATCAGTGTCTTGTGGTGCGACTGATTGTGAAGCAGCCACCCGATTCCTGCATTGTAAGCCAGGCGCCAGAAGAGGTAGGTGGCTGCAAAGACCGGGATTTTGGCACCCGCTGGGAGTGCCCAGAGAAACAGAACATGACCAGCCAATAGAATCAACACCACAAGATCACCAAAATTCTTTGGCTCGGAAGGCAAAAGCAATTGGGAGACCATGTCATGAGTCTGAGGGACTGTAAACACTATGAAGATACATCGAACCCGGTTAGCAGCGGGATCTCGACAAAACACGGAGGGTTTGATGCATCCAATTAATTCCTATATTCAATTGCAAGCATAATTAACAAATAACAAGCTTACCTTTTCCATCGGGAGTTCTCCCAAAGGTCTTCGATTCTTTGCCATCTTTATCTTCGATCTCCACTTCCCCAACGGCTGCTAAAGCCTCGCGACCGACTGTTGAATCGACGCGTGTATTTCTCTCACGTAGCCCATCAATATCTTGATGGGCCCCTGTTGAAAGGCCTTGATCCATGGTGTGCCACTTTACAAGGGTGTTGAGAGAGAGAAAACTGTTGAGACGGAATGTGACGACAGAAGCATGTGATAGTCGAAAAGGCGGAACTATGCTTAGTCAGTGGGGGGGAAACGTTACAGAGCACTGCTTAATGATTTGTCCGCCTTTGTGTTCAGGGGTTTTGTCCTGACTATGGGAGGTCTCTCTCTTTTTTTTTCAAAAAGACAAAGAGAAGAATTTACCGAGGAGACCAATTGGTATTTATATCAATTCCGAGCAAGAGTGGAACCGTTGAGACTCGTGAGGCCTCTCAAGACATGCGGGCCTCCGAATGGAGCGGAAGGGAAAAGAAATGGGGGTCTTTGATCAACTAACGCTAAGTGGCTCTAGTCCGCTTCTTCGCTACGGGTTGTTGGGAAAAACCCTCATCTGATCCTATTTTGAATAGGCTTTTGGACACCCACCTCTTCTATCCTTTACTCTCTCGCCCATGGATATACAACACCGATTAATAGCGGGGTATTGTGCAGTGCGGCAAGTGCGGCAGCCTGTGCAAGTTGTGTGCTCCAATGGCACATACCGTGTACGGAGTACACTTACCGCCTATTCTGTACATAGATTGATATGCGCATTTGTCTGTGGGCTCGAGCCCTGTACGGAGTATATAGAATGCATTGTGATCATACCCGCTGGTTCCACGGGCGAATGGGATGATCCACGGCCAGTGGAGTACTTGACATCATCCAATCCAAATCCCTGGTTGTTGATCAGGGTCAGAACTGAAACCCCTGGTGTTGTACAAACTGTATTTCATACAGGCACCGTTTATGTCAATGCATTCTCGATAATTGGTACTCATAATACCACATTGCCTATGTTGTACCTCACTGGGTTGTGTGTTTACTACGTGATATGCAAGAGGCGATCCAATCTAAGCTGCAGCCCAGATGTAGCCTTTAGGTCTGTCTACATCTATCATGCTGCAGTGGAGGTGCTAGGTCAAGACTCTGGCCCCGTGGTTAAGTGCTGACAGGGCCCGGGATTCTTCTAACCCTGTGGGGCTATTTATTGTTGAGTGGTTTTTATGCTGTTCACAATTAACCGGCCTCTACTTGAATAGGCGTATAAACTAGTGGCAGGTTCAAGAGTCCTTTGAGATTTGAATGCATGTTCTGGCTTTGTGACGTCCATCCCAAATTCATTTACATGAGACTCACTTAAATCACAACAGAGGACTCAAGCCCTGGCCTATACTGTACCATGTTGATCGTATTGATGTCTTGCCCCGCCCGGGTTGCTGCCTCGTTGTTACATAAGCCAACTACGCGACAGCTCGTGTTCTCGTGTTTCTTCTCCTCTAGACACCATACCACTCACATCTAAAGAATATGAATATATTTAAAGTATGGATGAGATGGCGACCTCTCAACCCGAGCGTGGCCGAAACGGGAGAAATACAGCGGGAATACGGCCAGCATCACAATAATCCACAGTCATGCATCTCCATTACTTCACCTTTACAAGCTAAAGCACTTTCTACCCGAGAAAAATCCTGGAAGAGTGGGTTCTCGTTTGATGGGATCATTGAATGTGATGATAAGAACCACTTGGTATTCAACCGTGTTGTTGCACCAATCATCCCACAGGTTCTGGAGGGCAAGTCTTGCAATTTCTTTGCATACGGCCACTCAGGTAGCGGCAAATCACATACCATGATTGGCTATGATTTTGAACATGCCGATGAGTTTGGGCTTTGTTTGGCTGCTGCACGTCAACTGAGCGCTGCGCTAGGAGACATCAATATGGAGGACAGCAACCATCAATTCGGCATTGGGCTTCGTGTGTTTGAATTGCGGAAGAATATCGCATTTGATCTCCTCAATGAGCGGAATGAGTGCTTTGTCCGCGAGGGATCCGATGGGCGGGTCTACATCCGTGGCGAAACAGAAATGCTGGAAAATGGAAAAGTGAGAGTCCGACCAATTGCTACGAAGGCATGTTGGAGCTTTGAAGAGCTGCACAAGGAGCTACAAAAAGGCTTGAAACACCGTAAGACTGCGACATCGACAGTGCACGATCAAAGCTCGCGCACGCATGCTGTGATCGAACTGGAAATCATCACCAAGGATCTTCTCAACGCGCGCAACCAGGTGGTTGAGCGGCAATCAGAGCTTGTTCCAGTGGGAAAACATGCAACTGATGTTTATATCGAGGAACAATATCGTGCGATTATCCAGACAGAAGAGGGGAAATTCGTTCCAAATCCTGATTATCAAGTGGATCAAGCACGCGTCGATGCTGCAGAGACTAAAAAGGCCGAGTTTGAAGCTCGTGTGAAAGAAGCAGAAGAGCATGAGTCTAGAGTATTTGCAACTACCGCTCAAATACATCGATGTATTGGTGGGAAGCTTGTGTTTGTTGATCTGGCCGGCGCTGAGTTCCTTTCCAGTACGACTGGGTCTGCACTCAAACAGACCCCCCAAGAGAAGCAAGAAGGGAGGCAGATAAATACTGATCTCCTCGCATTAAAAGAAGTGATCCGAGCCCGATCGAGCAAAAAATCACGTATTCCATACCGTTCCTCTCCATTGACTATGGTGCTGCGCGAGCACTTCGAGGCATCAACCGATACTCATTCAGCCATGATCTTGACTGTCTCACCGGAGGCCAGTCAGTATACTGCAACTACAAATACACTAAAATATGGAGATCTGGTTGGCTTAGCAAATGGACACAAAAGATAGTTAGGTATGTATCATCCACAGTGGATTGTTATAGATGTCGGCTTCTCCATGCATACTTTATTCTCTGATTAATTTACCCGTTTATCGTACAATATACCCATGGTTATTTAGTATGGGCTACATAGTATAAATATAGTGTTCGTCTCGATTGAAATATCTTACTTTCGACTTTCATACACTTGGTCTGCAAGGGCTCCGACACCGCAGGTATGACTTACCCCACCAATCGCAGCGGGGTTTTAGTCATCCCCGCTTATCAAGCATCAATCCGCCACCGGACGTCGAATTTCTCTGTTTCTTGCGACTGCATAACATTTATCTTCTGATTTTTCGTCGCTTGCTCTCATTTACATTGCCACACAGAGCAGCAATTTAAAATGGCGCCCTATGTGGAGGAGTTCGTCGAGGAGTCTCTAGCAGTTTCGTCCAAGGTGACGCCCAGCCTTGTCGCACCCGAACCTGGTACGCATGCGCAGAATCATTGACACAATACACACACTAACTCTCTTCAGAACATTGCCCAGGCCCTGAATCCGAGCAAGCTGGCCAAGGCGATGCCTGTGCCGGTTGCCCAAACCAACAGATCTGCGCCACCGCGCCCAAAGGCCCCGACCCCGACATCCCAATCATCACCGAACGACTCTCCCAAATACGACACAAGATCCTAGTTCTCTCCGGAAAGGGAGGAGTCGGCAAATCTACCTTCTCAACCCTCCTCGCGCACGCATTCGCCGCCAACCCAGACTCCACCGTCGGCATCATGGACACCGATATCTGCGGGCCGTCGATCCCCAAAATGATGGGCGTGGAGTCAGAGACCATTCACATTAGTAACGCCGGCTGGAGTCCCGTCTGGGTGACGGATAATCTGGGCGCGATGAGTGTGCAGTTCATGCTGCCCAACCGGGATGATGCGGTGATCTGGCGCGGGCCCAAGAAGAACGGACTGATCAAGCAATTCCTCAAGGATGTGGACTGGGGCGAGCTGGATTATCTGATTGTCGATACGCCTCCTGGGACCTCTGACGAGCATTTGTCCGTCAATTCTTTGCTGAAGGAGTCTGGCGTTGACGGTGCCGTGGTCGTGACTACCCCGCAGGAGGTCTCATTGCTGGATGTTCGCAAGGAGGTCGACTTCTGCCGCAAGGCCGGCATTAAGGTATTGGGCTTGGTAGAGAACATGTCTGGATTTGTCTGTCCTAACTGCACACACGAGTCGCAAATATTCCGAGCGACAACTGGCGGCGGTCGCCGGCTGGCAAAGAAAATGGGCATTCCTTTCCTAGGTGCTGTTCCTCTGGATCCCCGCGTTGGCATGGCGTGCGACTTTGGCGAGAGCTTTGTGGACAACTTCCCGGATAGTCCCGCATCCAAGGCAATCAAGCGCGTCGTGCGCCTGGTGGGACAAGCGGTTGGGGAGAACCCGGATGATGTTCTCCCAGAAGATACGACCGATTAAAGTGCTTTTTCTTTTTTGGCTTATTTACACAGCGCGATGCATATGGATATATTTTTGCGAAATACCTCGGCGTTTGGGATATACATAGCATAAATCATGACTTGATATGGTTGGCCAAAATGGCAAATGAACACATGCATATTCACCACAAGTTTGGATTCACATCTCAAGTACTCGCTTTCCGTGGCCCTTAGTAGGCTCCATATACCAAAGCCAATTGGTCAATCTCGTCATCGGCTTGTCCCATGAAACCCACAACCGCAAAGCCATCGGGGGCAGTAAACGTCTGGCAATTATCAGTTGAGGTGCCTGCCTCCAAGGTTTTACCAGTACTGGTAGTAGCCTTGATATAAAAGTTGCGAGTGTGGCTATTATACTGCCCAGTACAGAGCTTTGTCTCCGTCCAATGCTCTCCAGCGCCCAGGGTAAGGGAGACCTTAGTGCCACCAGTTCCTCCATGGCTAAATGATGTGCCATCCTTCAACTCTAAACCAACAGCATCCAGCCTCTTCGCACCAGAGAAAGTAATCACAGAAGCAGCAGGCGACGAAGGGATCTTCGGCAGATCATTAAACCAGGTCCCATGCGGACCACCGGAGAACTGACTTTGTCGCAGCGATGGCGAAAGCGACCAAGTGAAGTTCACAAGAATCGGGTTGTGATCGGAGAGAACGGCTCCCAGATACTTGGGGTCAGTGTTTGTGAACTTCCCGCCATCATAGGCGAAGCTGTCTGCCTTGAGCGTCACAACGTTAGACCCCCGGTACAGCACCTTATCAACAGTCTCGCAGGTCTCAACAGAAGACGGGTTGTCACATAGCAAGGCATCTGCCCCAGCTGTAGGGTAAACACCATCTTTCTCAAGCTCGACCCAGGGGTCTGCGAGGCCATTCTGAGACTTGAAAACGCGAATGGCCGTGTCATCCGCGCGCGTGTATCGACTGTTCGTATCGCCCATGACTACGACGGCGTTACCAGTCGACCAGGTGTCGATGTAATCTGCGACCTGCTGCAGGTTGGAGTTTCGGGCAGTTTCGTCGTCTTTCTCGGTGCTTAAAGGGAGTCAGTTCTTAGATCTACTACAATGTGAGAATAGCTTCCACTCACCCGGCGTCGGCGTGGACGTTGTAGAAGTCGACATAGACTCCCTCAGCCGGGTTCCAGCGCATGAATGTGAGGCCCTTCGGGGTCAAACAGTCTGAGCCGGATGCATCTGAGCATTTGTTCCATTTCACGCGTGTGAAATCTATCCAGTCGTGGGTGGAGATAGTGTTCAGGCCACTTCCAATGGCTGCACCGCCGGATGTAGCGGTCCGGTAGGGGTGATTATCTGTTGCGTAAATGTTGGCATGGTAGTTGAAATCCTAAATCGTGGTTAGATCAATTGACATATTAGGAGGGCCTGATGGAGCGGTACCTCCTGCATATTGATGATATCGTAGCCATACTTTGAGAAGTAGGTGCCGAGCTGTTTGGCATTCTCGGTTTTTGTCCCATTGACATCATTTGATTGGAGGAGTTCTGGCAGACCTGCGACGTTGAAGCTCAGCGCCGTGAATTTACCACTTGTTTCTGCTGCGCTGGCCAATGCCGGCAGAAGAACGCTTAGGAGAATGGTCTTCATCTGGAAAAGAGACTACCTCGACTTTGTAAAGTGCAATATATCCTAAAATAATTCGTGGGGTGGGCTGCGGATGAGAGTTTCCAAGATGATGGGCCTAGTATATATACTCCGTAGGACTTTGTGACTTTGTGGCATAAATCCAACTCGATCATATGAATAATTCTATCTAGGTAGCGATCTACAATCTTTAATATACAATACATAGTTAGTTTTACGCCAAGAATTGACGACCTAATATTCTCCGTACGCTAATGCACATGTGCAGTTGATTAACAATGATTGGCAGTGTCATTTCCTCTTTGCTCTTAGGTGCGTATGGAGACAGGGGAAGCCTCGGAGAAATGATCCTGCAGAAGTCTCACATCACCTTAAACTCAGGGGTACAACATACAACATATGTTGTACGGAGTATAACATAAATTAGCAAGTTCTCATGATAGTATTAGCCTCGGCTAACTCCGTACTTTCATCTTCTCTAATAAACTTGGGGCACAATATGCTAAAGTGGTCATGCACATAGGCACATTTTTAATTCGATTGAAGGAAGTATCCCTCAATGAGACATCTTTGAACATGAGGTCTTAGTGCTCGGACCAAGACCTGATGATAGCTAAAAATTTGAAATACAACAACCAGGTACACAACGTTGTAGGCAACAATAGCAGACATCATGACATTGGTACTCCGTCGACTTCTTTGTCTACACTCTCGTGTTGGTTTATAATGTTCTCTTTGTCGACAATCGTCTACTTAATTGCTATTCTTGTCACACTTGATGCGCTCGCCGTTCTTAGTGTCTCCAACTTCAACTTCTTTGTCCACTTCTCAGTGTCTATTTAAGGCCGTAGCCTCGGCTGCTATTGCCATTGTCTGTCTTGTTCGAGTGCTGATATTTTTGTCAACTCTTTGTGTACAATGTTCCTTCCCCCCCNCCCCCCCCCCCCCCCCCCTTTGTATGTACTTGAAAGCCATATTCTGGTCGAGCATGCATCACCTCCTCGGCTCACATCTATATAATCCTCGGTCTCTCTTAGTATCATATAGACAAATACAAGTTCATCATCCATCATTCAATACACCACTCAATAACCAGTACTTTAGTTTTAATATCCACAGATATGCCGGGTTGTTGTCGATGGAATTGTTTCGGCCTCTGCCGCCGCCCCCGCACCTCCCCCAGTTTTGGCCCTCGCCCTTCCGGCGATGCTCCTATAGAACTCCGAGTTATACCTCGCCCTACTCCGGCAGCCCTACCCATCCCCGACCCTGTTGTCCCTGTCGATAATCCCGTTTCCATATCTTCTCAGCCTGGTGCTTCCCCATCCGTTAACCCAAATGATTATCAGTACGGCGAGCGCGAGATGTGGGGACACTTGCGACAAAGATGGATCGATGATGCAAACGAGCCTAACTGTACAGTGCAGCCACCAAATTTTGAATTTAGAAAGTTGACCCACGCTAAACACCGGTCCGAAAGATGGACATCAAATTTCAACCGCTGGATCTCAAGGCCCCCGACCCTTCAAAGGGACCTCGAGGGTTGTGGTCTCCCTGTAGGTAACGAAGATTATCATGATGTTAAAATATCGAAGAACTCGGTCTTTGAGCACTCTAAAAGAGGAAGGGGAACTAACTTTTATCATATCTCGACTGCAATGGGAGTTATTATCTTGAGAAATGTTGACAGATACGATGGACCTTGGTGGAGCCAGATTGCCCTCGCACAGTACGATATTCACTTCGCCCGGAATATCTTGAGACACATCTACCTCGAAAACGTTATCAACGCGGATACCAGAGACTTTATACAAACGATTTGGGTGAAAACTCAACCACCTAATTCCCAGGGGTTTCAGCCATCTCCAGCATCAGTAAATCAAGTGACCTGGAACTTTGATACCCCCGAGTATAAGGCCATTCTAGGCACAGAGCTTGGGAAGGGGGTGGCTGCTATTGTTTTGTCGGCATTTCCCAGAGGTACACATCGTATCACCGGAATCGTGGTCTGGAAGAAGTCTATCATGCAGATACGATTTGATATCGAAAACAAAGCTTACATTTAAACAGGCAGAGGCAATTGTAACTGGAGAGCTATTAAATTCCAATTTTTCTATTAGAATGAATGTATTAGAATGAATGTCAATCAATGAATTCAGCTTGGAACCAACCAATCAATCATTTATTCAATCATGTGTTCATTTAATAAATGTTTCTTCGACCTACTGTAGTTGTATTAGTTAGGCGGAACTCTGTGAGTACTGTTTCCCCAATAGAATACGGTACTCGTAATCCATATGCTATCTACCTAGCTATAGTATAACACATAGTACCTCTCGCTGTCATATATAAATATCTAGTCCCTTGAGGACTCGACTGACGGTCAACTATGATGCATATTGGTATGAAATCCGAGGGATATCATGCCTTTTTTAAACCGCAATATATTAAATCGTCTACGAATCGACAGGGAATATTAATGGAGCCCAATTATAAAGCATGCACTGCCATGAAGTGTATTCTTTTCGGTGCGAAACCCATGGCATATTTGATCTCAGATGTATAGAGACAACAGTGGGGTTAAAGGGGAGATAAATACATGTTACAACTAGATAACTAGTACAAGAGAGGGACATCCGTTTTTGCTTTCGCGTTCGCATGTGTAACCCACTCCCTCTAATTCATCGCAATCATGTTTGCTCGTCAATCTTTCCGTTGTGCACAGCCCTTGAGACAGGTTCGTTGAGGTAGGTATAATAGTAATATGATTAGATTGCCTAACAACATGTAAAATTATAGATATATAATAAATTTTCTGCGAGGCAATAGTAATTGATGTTCTACTAAGGAAGTATTTTCTGTATGCATCTATTATATGTGTGGCCTGAAGGACCTTTTCACCCAGGATCCTGTCTCGCACTTAAAGTACTATGTACGTGATAGTAAAATTGGTTTGTCTAGAATCTACCAATTGTATTGATGATGACCATTTTCCAAAATCAAGAAAATCAAGAAAATCAAGTGCAGTACAGAAAGTCCGTAAGTCTCCACCTTTTTATGCGGGGAGATGCTATATCGACGTACAACATTGGATATCAAAAACAACAGTTCTCACAAAGTATACCAAAGCTCCAAAGCTTTCAAAATGTCTCTGATAGAATAGAGTCTTGATTATATCCTTTGAACTATAATACTGGTATAATATATATGCTACGTTCTACGTTCTACGTTCTACGTTCACGAGTGCCATGTTTGTCAAACCGTAGATCCACCAATCCGATGATGTCATATAACATCAGGAGCTGTCACCAGAACCAGATGGAAAAGACCTGCGCTGTTAAATGTCCCGTACGCCCGGAAGAGACTTCCAATTATTTAATCTCAAATACTTTTCTTCCATCCCAATCTATCCTGTCTTGTAAAGTCGTTACTCTACCGTCCTATCTAAACTACATCATAACCATCATGTCATTCCTCACCACCATCCGTGCCTCCTCCCGCCAAGCTATCCGAACCAACTTCGCCGCGCCAGCTTCCACATTCCATTTTTCAGCAGTCCGAAGCTTAAACGAGGATGATAGGAGTCAGTATACCACTACCATCGACTTCTCCTAGCCATATTAACCACAAGAAGGCCGTGAGAACCTCTCCCACCACTACGAATCCCATAAGCAGGAAGGCATCAAGAACACCAAAGAGGGCAAGGCAGAGTGGAAGTCCGAGCTGGCTAGTAACAGCGAAGCGGATGTAAGCACTGACCCCCTGGGATTCATTTCCATCGGAGCTAATATATTTAATTTATTCAGGTCAAAGCGGATCGTGGCGAGTTAGACGGTGATATCTCTTTCCAGGAGATGCAGAAGAAGACGAAACATGTTAAAACCGAGGCGGGTAACAAGCAATAAGTGAAAGCTGTCGGCATTTTGTAACTTTTCAATAACGGCCTTCATTCATTCCGCGTATGTATTTTATTGGGCCAGTCTGTGGGTGAGGCTGTTGGGGAGTATTTTATGGTGATTTATGCGAGTTTTCAACGCATCCCTGAATGACAATTGATACTTCACGCTTTGTCTGAACAGATAATTGATATTAAAGGGGGTTTATGATCAAGGGTAGACTTGTAGATGTAGTATGATCAATGATCTAACTAGGAGTCTAGGAGCGACTCAATTGCCTCTAACGCCTCGAGCCACTGTGAAAAGACAGGAGAATCAATCGTCCTGTGTTGAATAAAGCTGCANCAAAAAAAAAAAAAAAAAAAAAAAAAAGGAAAAAGTGACTGCGATAAAAGAACAGCCTCCAATCATCCACCCGTCGGGGTATCATTTCAAAATCACGATCAAGATGACCAGAATAATGATCAATCCAATGATAGTCATCATGCTCCAGTTCTCGCCTGCCTTTCGACGGATCCGATCTATCCGCCGTCTCGCGCCATCCAGTCGGGTTTGATGACGCTCAACGTCCCCATCCATTCCATCCAGAAGTTGAACGTGGCCATCCAGCTCATCTCCGATCTGAATACTCAGCTGGTGTTGTCTGCCAATCGATTCACCTAGCCGATCCAACTGATCATCCTGATCACGCATGGTTTGAGCGTGGTGGTCATAAATCTGCTGGTTGTCCATGTTTGACTGATCCGGTCGCGGCGATGGCTCATCACGGTATGGGCGGAAGAGGTTGCTGCGGTTGCGCTCATCTTCCTCGTCGATCTCATCTTGCACGGCTGCGGCTGCGGCGGAGCTGTCCATGAAGCGGACGGATTTGGAAGGTGGATGTTGTGGGATTGGCTGCTTGAGATCGGGGGTGGCAGGTTTCGACGCCTGCGTCGTGTTGCTGTCCGATGGCTGGCCGTCTGCGCCGTAGAACTGGGTCGACAGATCTTTGTATTGGGCTTGGAGGGGGGTGAGTTGGTCTTTGAGGGCAGCGGCGCCTGCGCTGTCGTGCGAGTTGGCTAGCCGGGTTTGTTCGGCTTCTAGGGCCTCTATGCTTTCTCGGAGGGACTCGAGGGACCAAGAGATCTCTCCATCTTGGGAATTGGGCTCGAGATCGAGTGAGATTGCCCTTTCGCGCTCCAAAAGGGATAATTTGATGTGATCGGCGAGTAGGAATAGCTGGGAAGGGTTCGTCATGATGAGGTGCGTGAGATCAATATGTCAGGCTGTTGAGATGTATAAATCGCAGGCTTTTGGACGGTCAGTACGGAGAAAGACCTCCGATCAGCCAAGTAAGATAAAGTCAGACTGTTTGAGGTGTTTACGAGGTTGAAGGTGGAGATGGTAAGACGAGGAATCACAAGCGGAGGCAACAGTGCGGATCAACCGCTTTCCGCCTTTTTGCCTCCCCTTGATCCCCCGCAGTCATCCCGCCTTCTCTTCAGGTTGGAAATCTTAATATGTCCATGTCTTGCAAGCATTTGCTTCCGATCGCTCAACTGATTGTTTTCTGAGTGTCATCCTCATAGATCTGGACTATTCGGTCTACCTCGGTATCTAGCGCCAAGCTGCATGAACCCGCGCACTGATTCCGCATTCCAAGAAACCAACAACATAAGGAATAAAAGTCCGTTGGTACCTTGCATATTTTTTTTGGGCCTCGTGATAGGCCCCAAGTCTGCGCATCATGAATCTACAAGACTTTCTGGCTATGGAGGAAAGCCGCGACCGCGACGAGCTAATCGATCTCCGCAGCCTTGATCTCGTCTCCGAGTACGACTCGCACCTGATGTGCCCGATCTGCCACTGTCCCTTCGTTGACCCCGTTCGTCTCCAATGCGACCATGTTTTCTGCGGGAGTTGCCTCAGTTCGGCCATCACCAGCTTCCGCTCGGCCGACTTGGACGAGTTCCCGTGTCCCTCTTGCCGAAATCCCACCCAGAAAGTGTCGGCTAGCGTGCCCCGCCTGCTGATCAACATGTGCGACGAGATCCGGGTGCGATGTCCGTTGATAACGGAGGGCTGTCAGGAAATTATACCCCGAGGTCATGTCCAGTCGCATGTCGAGAAGTACTGTGGGTACCGGCTATTGCCGTGTCCGGATAATTCATGCGATCAGATGACGCGAAGCAAGGACGTTGGAATGGATCGGAAGTGCATTCATAGAGTGCAGCGCTGCTCTTTTTGCGAAGAAGATGTTCTAGAGCATGAATACAAGGTTCGTTGCTCTTTTGAGCTTCTTAGGGTTCTATAGACGCTGACCGGAATGCTAGGAGCATGAGAAAGAGCTTTGTCCCGTTCTCGAGGTCACATGTGTCGACTGCGAAACAGTTGTCACTAGAGGGGCACTGCGGGAGCACATTGAATCATGTCCAGAGGTTGCAATTCCCTGCAAGGCATCCAAGTACGCATGTCCTATTAAGGTCCGACGGGCAGAGATTGCAGCACATGAGCAAAGCTGCCCCATAGTCGCAATGGGCCCGTACTTTGAGATGCAAAATACCCGGCTCAATTCCCTAGAATCAAGTATGCGACATTTACAGCAGCGGAATGAGATATTCGAGGATGGGCTCGCAAACATTCGGTCCACTCTTGTCGAGTCCACACGCTTGGGTGCGAACAGTCATGGTGGTGGACAATCTACCCAACCTGGCCGAGAACAGCAACCCTCCACTCGCGTCGACGTCCACACGGATGATCCTGCAGATATTGCTGCGAGTGTATTTTCTTCCAATGCCACGACCTATCTCCTTTCGCTACACGAATCTCTCCGGGAAGAGGTCAGCCAACTTTCCCATGCTATCACAGACCTAGATGCTCGCGCTAGCATGGCTATCATGAATGAATGCATGCGCATCAAAGAAGACATGGCCCACACGAGTGCGGCAGTCAACAGTGTCCGCATGCAGGTCCAATGGCTCATGAACCCTCGTCTTCACCAGGGGACACGCGGAGGAGCTGTGCGCACTGCAGACAACGAAGGGACGCGGACACAGGTGGCATCGTCAGCAGCTGGGCCGAGCCATGCTGCTGGTCAATCCCTAGGGCCTCTTCGGCCTAGGCGTCCTAGTGACAGTGGACGCGAGGGAACAAAGCTGTGAAAGTGTGTTCAAGTGTGATTTGGGGCGCTGCATTTCACCGTCTGATGCGAAGGGGCTTCAGGCTTTCATGTGTACCTTGTAGCTTATGATATGACTGACGATTGAGTTATTTTGGCGAGGGCCGTGTTGTATATAGTTGATAGAGATAAACGGCTCTAGTTACATTAATAGATGATATACATTTCTTTTTCTGATATATGAGATCAAGAAAAACGGCTAGTCAGGTCCAAATATATATATCATCGGACAGATACCAACGGAAAAAAAACATCCATTAAAATGTTCTAAGGTAACTCTTTAGTGTCAATGAATCGGACGACACCTACCTATCTACACTGCATTCGCCCACGAACTTAGCAAAACTTGAAAAAAAAGGTCGATTGATCCATCTATTTCACCATTAAACAAATCCAGAAAAGAAAAGAGCAAAAAAAGAAATCTCAGGTTTGGTTTTTAGGAATAGCCGAACGCGGGGGTCGAACCCGCAGCCTTAAGATTAAGAGTCTTACGCTCTACCGATTGAGCTAGCCCGGCCGGGCTGTTGAAGAGACGAGCGAACTAATGCATCATAGAGCGAATCATGTTTACAACCGTTCCTCCTTGACATTGACTCCAATGCCGAGGGAGTCAATGTCAAGGTAAGTCGCGGTTCAAGAGTTCAAGACCTTGGAAGCAAGTCTGGTCATTGTAAAAAGCGGGACTCGGAATATTTTCCAGCTTCTTAGCTTCCAGTATCTTAGCCAGTGCTCAGTCGTTTAGTGACTAGGAAGTTGCCTGTCACCTAGGGGCAAAGAGTTGTTGTAGATGAAGGAGATGAGAAAGAGAGGAGAGAGGAGAGAGAAAGGACAATGGCGAAGAGAAGATAAAGGGGAATGGAAATATGCAAGGGAGAGAAGAGGGGAAAGCAGACGTATACTTTAACGATGGGGATTGGTGGAAAAGCCGGTCGGATAAAAAGGAAACATCTGAGGTACAAAGTATACAAAGAAAACCACATTCGTACTTAAGTCAAGGCTACAAGCACTTCATACTGACCGATCTTTGCATTAAATACTGTTACTAATTTCAATAGTGCAATTCAATTAAATTGGTCAAATAACAAGCGGAAGTCAATGCCTCAGCGCCTAGGAGGTCTATATACTCCTACACAGCTCAGAGCTTGAGCCCGAGTCACAGAGTGTACTAGCATTGTTCTATATACAAAAGTACTACCCTCAAGAGAGAAAGTGACTCAAATTATCCGGCAATCCTATCATGTGCCCACAACCTTAGGCCGCGAATGCCGCGCCAGTGAGATCAGCTTCTCGACAAAAGCCTGGGCCAGATAAAACGGCGGGTAAGTCCCCCCGTCATCCGACGATTTGTCGAGGTGAGCCAAGAGTTCAGCAATATCCTCCAAGCTCTTGAGATCCCTTGTGAAAGTAGATGAAGTTGGAACTGTGATGAGATACCAAAAGACTGAGAGAACGGCCGTGAGGAGAAACTGCGCGTGAAGCCTGAGATATGAGAGAAACCCAAATTAGTATATATTCGTATGCCAAGTCTTAATGTCCCTACCAGAATGTATGCTGGTTGACGAATTGGCGGACTCGCCAAATATAGATCAGCGAACACCTCGCAGCTTCAAAACACAGCTCTGCACTAGATGGGAGAGGCGACCAGCTATGTGGAGAAACTATCTTGCAAGAGCCATTCGCTCCGTGGATTTTTCCAAGGCAGTAGTAATATTCCAAATGGATATTCACACCACGGATACTGAGATCATGGAAAAGATAGTCCGGTGCGCTCTCGGTGGCGAACACCTCCGGCCGGCAGTCGGCGGGATACCCAAGCTTCAAGTCGCTCAGTTCTTGGTCTAGTTCCCGGATATGTTGAAGGCGTCTAGCTTCCGGTAGTGCCTGACTGTCCGCTGAATAAAGTAACCGGAAGATCTTGGACTTGAGCAAAGAGAAGCGGAGGTCTGAGGGGAAAAGAAGCTCCTTGGATGACAAGGGCTTCATGTAGAAGTGACGTTCCGAGGTTTCCTGGGCGTATGTCGTAGGTAGATCCAGATCGCAATCGGCGTCGTTTATCAAGGGTGGTTGGGATTTTCGGATAGAGAATTCTTTGTCGATGGCATAGCAATGCCAGAACAACGCTCGGAGATGTTGGCTACGCTGGTCTGTTCTGTGTATCTCATTGGGGGTTTGTATTTTGTTTGCCCCAAGGTTATATATGAGCTGCACTGCGATCCCAAGAAGTAGTTCCCCTACCTGGGGTCTACCAAGAGGGGTGATATACAGCATCTATAGCCACATATAAGCTTCTAAGACACGGGAGACAAGGTATCCACCTCCGAGGCTTGACAGGCAAAGAACTTACTAATATTGTCACCGCTTCCAAAGTCCTTATGTCAGGGGGCTCCAGTATCATTTCAGGAAGAAGTGTTAGCGCTGCTTGCAAATAAGCATCCGGATCAGCGCCGGCGAAAGCTTGCTCATGGCGGTGGATCTGGGTGATCATTGCCGCAAAAGCAACCAGACAAGCCCGATTCGCGGCACGGGTCATGTTCGGAGGCTGGTCTAAGACTTTTGCATTGAGTAGAATCTGCACGGCTTCAACATCGACAATTGGAAATATAGAATAGAGACCATTTCTATCAAAATATTCCAAACACCGTTGGACTAGAGCAGACCCTGGCCATTTGATCCCAATCACTTTCTTTGTCGATTTGAGCTCTTGTGAACTGAAAGATTGGGTGACCTCATGAGCAAAGGCATCCAAATTGAATGTACAACCTGTTTGCCGTTGAACGAGAGAGTAAAAAGCTACCCTTTGCGTCGAAAGAGCACCCCCGAGCCCACAATATGAGATGTGCCATTGGAAAGCCGCCAATGCGGTATCGAAATCACGAGTATCGGGCAAATAAGATAAAGATGCTTGAGAGAGGGGTCTAGGCGACGCCGGAGAAGAGCTTCTGCTCGGAGAAGGAATAGCTAGCCTTTTGTGGCTTTGTTTTGTGGATTCTTTAAGTCCGAGCAGGGTCGCCTCTAATTCCCGAACCCGAGCTTTGGCTTCGGTAAGCTCTCTGTGTACCCCGTAAGCGCATGATAAAGAGGGGCCCAGTGATATGGAGTCTTACTGTCGGGTACTTTTCCGATGCTGTGATACAGGTTGAGAGAAAGTACATGGTAGTCCTGCAATATGACAATTCTCACAGGCTGGTTGTTTTTTATCACAGCGGATCTGTCGGCAAAATCAGATTAGGGGCTGTCACATTGGGCAGGCAGTGTAGATATTACCTTTCGGTGTCGACAAAGATCGCAAGCGCTCCGTCCTTTTGCGCTCCGTGGACCAGTAGCCTCGTCCATAAAGTGATATCGTAATACTCCTTACAGGTGTCGACAAGCCTTATCGGTCATCATGGGGCCGGGCAAATCGCCGCTGAATCATCAAGATTTTTTATTAGGGACGAGCCTATGGAGACGATGCACAGAGGAATCCACTTGCTTGCAGCCACTGAGATCGACGGAATTGAAGGCCAAGACTCTTTTAGGTGTGTAGCGCCGAGATGAGGATAAGATGAGTCAGCGGGAATTTTGGGCCCCGTTGGAAAAGGGACTTGACCTTCAACAATAATGTATGGAGTACGGAGTACAGAGTACAGAGTGAAGTGTTAGTGTTCAAGATTCTTGAGATATGGCTTTTTATTTGTTTGTTTTTCATTTTAGCCCCCGTGTATAGCCCAAATCTCTCAATCCTGTTGCTAGATCTTATATCAGCTACATTAGTGCATTACATGTAGGTAGTGTCTCAGATAGGGAATAAGAACAAATCGACATAAATATATTTGAAAGTAACAAGACAAGAAATGAATACCAATTAGACCAAGTTGAATCCAAAAAAGGGAAGCGAAACAAACATATATACACATTCCGCCCAACCCCAGTGCCATACTTCTCTCCTTCCACACCTATAAACCCCCAATCAAGTAGACGGAGCCACATCGAGACTGAAAACACCATCCCAATTGCACTGTGCCATAGGGTATTCCTGTTTCTCGCATTTCCACAAGTCGCCGTTCACAGTTGACTGCCCACTCTCAGAGCCGTCGGCGCGGGAGACTCCAAAATCGATGTTTTCAATATCATAGATTCCGTTTGGGAGATGAAGCTGGTATGCCTTGTCGGAACAGTCGTAGGTTTTGTTCCCAGCCATTCCAATTGACCTTTTTAGATGTCAGTATCACTTAAGTTTTTTGGCTTTGGGCTTATAATGTATTCTAGACACGGAGAAGAAAACTGGAAGATAGATTGGAACATACCAGTAGCCAAAGCATTTGGTGTCTGTGTTTGTGTTTGGGTCTTTGACAGCAAAGGAGAGGAAACAGGTTGTTGGGGGACTTGTGCTGTAGATGGCTGCGTTGAGGTTTGTGAGCTGCAGTGGCTCTAGAACGGGCACCATGGGGCTGGGTGCAGCAAGGATAGAGGTGGCAGTCGCCAGAACGACAGCGGAAATCGAAATGGTCTTCATGTTGCTGGACTAATGTATGTTGCTTTGTTTCTTTGAGATTGCCGTTGAATTCTTTGCTGCTGTTGAAGGGTATACCGATGGTCCCCTCTTATACTTCTTCCCTGCACATATGCTTAGAAATATACTTGTTGAGAAGTTCAACTGAGACATGAACACGAGAAACAGACACGCACGACCAATATTATGATTGAATGTTGACGTAGAGTTACATTGAAGTTATTGGAACCTAGCTGGCAAACCTATTTGGATCCCCGGATTATCGAATGATAAGCCACTGCCGTTGAACCAACCTAAAGAGGCGATACGATCCACAGAATCAGGCCTTCCACTGACTCTCGATCTATGGTTATTTTAGATATTTGGATACTTTCACCGCTAAACCTACATGCGATTATTGGCTCCCGCTATTTTTGGCGTCAGGCGACCAGACAACACCGCCCTGTATTATTTTTGGATATTATTACAAAACATATATTCTAGATAAAATTTGTGATTAATTGTCTTGCCCTAATTATTTGCTCTTTATACTACAGCTTGTACCCAGATTCAGCCCGTGAGAAATCTACAATGTTCTAAACCGAGGAAACTTCCATATACACTGCTAAAACGAGGTTTAATCTCGCTACCACGCTCGAAGCTATAACTATTCTATATATAGAGAATTGAAAAAAGACCAACTGTATTCATTTTTATAAAGGAGATATATAGCCAAGGAAAGCATTCTAAATAAGTACCGACCTCATCTTCACCTGATAGCAGAGCTGTTAGTACTTTATGGGGTTCATATAAAGTGCAAACCCATCAGGGGTCCCAATCAGGAGGAGCAGGGGAGGTACCTCGGTAAGGAGGAGGTGGAGTGAGATAGCGCTCAGGGAGTCCTGCTAAGCCCGACTCGGGAATGGGCTCATACGGAGGAGGGAGGTTCAAAAGTGGGACGGCATGCGGATCTGGCAACCCCAGGGCGGAGTAGGGGGGCGACTCCGGCGCGACTCCGGTCACATCCGCTTCATAGAGCACTACAACGAAGGCGTCAGTCAGGGACATGCCTCCGTGATACACCTTCCGCAAGAGCTTCAGCAAACCTCCACTGGGCCGAGTACTAGCAGGTGTGGACATGATGGCTTGGGAGTGGCTCACAGGCCCATCGCCGTGAGCGAACACAGCCATCAGCATAGGTGGGGGTCGAATATCTAGTAGGAACCGTTGAACTCCCTGAGTATACTGCACAATCTTCTGGATATGAACCCACTGGGAGCGGTAGTGGATGTTAAACCTGCTTGTCCAATCCTGGTCAAGGCCGGACTCTGTGAGGCCGGCGCATAGGGTCCAGATAAGGTAGTTCTCGTTGATCCACTCGCTAACTACAATCTGTGGCCGGGAAATGCTATGTTCTCGGCCCACATGGCACCGCACAGATGCCTGAGGAGTGATCTGTAGATCTTCAATATCTTCAATTGATACGCCGCAGAGTGCTGCAACCTGTGCCCACCTGTAAAGCTTGTCAGATGACATGGTGATATATGGCTGCAAGACTTACACAATCGATTGTGGCTGGGTATTGGGTTGAATGTGGACGTTCGAAGAACTTTACAACAGAACAATGTCGGTGAATTCCTGTTATTGACGCGAAGAGGGAAGGGCTTATATAGCCCCGGCGAGTCTGGAGCTCAACACTAGACTTGAGGGAGAATGGCTTTATTAGACACGCAAGAAACCAAAAACATTGGAAATATTCTTTATCTTAAGTTATATAAAACAAATGAATGATATTTTCATTGCTAAAGAGCCAGTTTTGCCCTTTGTTCGACGACGCCCAGAATACCCAACAAAGCCCCGTGAGAAATGTAAGAATCTTTTCTAGATGACTATGTACCTACTTATAAACAAAGAAACAGACATGTTGGATGATTGATATGATGCTAGAAGAGCTGAGATCTATGAGGCACCCAATGTAAATGGGTGCCAAAAAGGGAATACCCAAACACTCCAGGGCTGCGACTCATAAGCCTCCTATCACCAACCCTGGATTGTTGATCACTACGAAGAGATTCTAGATTTCTTTTGGTAGTGTTGCGGAATATCATATGTGTTCCCATGAACATGTTGTTTGTTTTTCAAGCCTCTCCTACTATAGATGTTAGTTAAAGGTTCCGAGACTGACGCCCAAGGGCTCTATGTATCTTTCTCTTCCATGCTGGATATTTGGTTGAAATGAGCAACACTACGATGGGGATATTAGGCCATGATGAGACAGCATCCCAGGGAAAGAAACCAAGTAAATATAGCTAGTGATTGGGGATTGGGGAATAATCTAACAAACTAAAACCAAACCACCTCGGTGATGGCCTGGTTCCTAAGACTAGGAGATATCCCGGGAATCTCAAAAGCCCATATACGTCCAAAGAAAACTCAAGTTGACTCAACACTATGAGTTTCACATGGGCTTTTATAAAAGGAAGTGTAACTTCCAAACTCACTGGATCCCCCACCTTTACCGTCTTTCCAAACTCCACTACCGTCTAAACCGACATAAGCAACCATCCGATTTCAGTAAAATACGATCACATTTTCCATCCCATATTCACTTGCTTTCCACATATTCAGCCCAATCATTTAATTTTCGTATCATCATCCAATCTTCAGAAACCCGGATGACCATGTCCATGCCCGTGACTATGTCCATGTTCCTGGCCCTGTCCAAACCCACCATGCGAGCCCGGATGCGAACCATGTGGGGGGCCATTGTGGGCACCGTGCGGCTGCGGGTGGCCGAAGTGATCGTCCTGCTTTCTATAGGACGAAGGATTCTGCGAGCCGCCATAATGCTGTTCATGATGTTGATTATGCTGGTATTCGTGACTCTGTTGAGGTACGTGCTGAGACTGGTGGTAGCCTCCATGCTGTTGTGGAGGAGGGTGCGAAGCCTCGTGCCTACCCTCTGCCCCGTGACTTTGGTATGAGCTGTGCTGGTACTGTTGGGTTCCTTGGTCGTTTACATCGCGTGACAAGCCACCAGGAAGGAAGCTAGAGATTTTGCTTTCGAGTTTGCTTAGGTTAGACAAGCCGGGGATGCTGGAGAGCTTGTCCCAGGGCATGCCAGAGGAGCTGTTGTTTGAGTGTTGCTGGTGGTTTTGGTGCTGATTTTGTTGAGGGAGGAATGAAGAAAATCCACCAGATGAATGTCCGCCATTGTTACTGTGTCCGTGGCTTTGGCTATGGCTGTGACTCGGCTTTTGGCTGTGCGAGGCACCGCCCAATGCCGCGAACCCACCATGACCACCGCTGTGAGTGTGGCTCACTCCACCAGTGTTACGACCGGATCTCACGCCCTCGGAGCTAAGGATGGAGTCAAGGGAAGCACCGCGGTCTGAGCGGGCGTGGGCCCATTTCTCGACGGCCTCGAACATTGCACGATGGGCATCATTGCGCATATTGCGCAGGACTGGGTGGTGGAAGACTTGCAAGCAGTCATTGAGTACCTCGTCCTCGGAAACATCGGTGTGTTGCCAAGCGTACAGAACGCGAGGCGCGACGTACTCCACGATTGCAGAGGCGACCTGTCCGGCGGGCTCATTCAGAACGTTGGCAAAGTGGTCTTTGGAGAGCAACGAGTGAGTGGGATCTGTGCAGTGAGGATCGGTCCATGGTTCGTACTGGTGCTTGCCAGAGGCATCAATGACCCCTGCTGATCCCGATTGCATGGACTTGGAAGCAGCTTTGATCAAAGGTCGAATGAAAGGCGCTAGGAGCGACATAATGACAACCGTCAAAGTTTCGGAGATCTTCTCGACGAGTGACTCCAAGCCTGGGATCTTTTCAATAATCGAGTTCAAGCTCCGCATCACCTTATCTCGGAAGGCTAGGATGGGATAGATCTTGGCTACTGTCTCCTGGGGGTTGAGATCAGGCATGCCGTTGAGCCCAGAACTAGGCTTTGAATCACTGCTTGAAGACTGGGTTGGCCCAGCACGGGATCGCTCGTGGCTATTGTAAGAAGACTGCGCATAGCCGGTATCAGCACTACGGCTCCGATTGGCCATTTCTTGTGCCGCTGACGACCTCCTGAGACCCTCAGCCTCATTGACAAGCTCCTTGGTACCAGGGATCTTGCCCAAGAGCCCAGTCAGGGCATTAAGTGAGTTGTTCGATTGCGCATTCGTTTCGGCATCACCGAGTGCAATATCCATCTCGTTGACTTCGGATTGAGTGAAATGATCATTTGCCTCTCCCATAACGGAATGGAAGAAATCAACCATACCAAAGGTTCCCGTCACAAGCGGAAAAACGCGATGCCCTTGAAGGTTGATCTGGGTGGCAGTACCCGTGTGCGGGAATACGTTCTTCAAACCCATCTCGCGCAATGCCAGCTCAACATAGTTGGTGTGTGCGGCGAAGTCCTCCAGCGTGTGTAGTCCCTGGCCTAGACACCGGAGTGCTTCGCACAGGTCCTCCTCGTTACCCTTCTTTTGTCCGCCATTGGTGTAGGTCCGTCCATAGTGAATACTGCGGCTAAGACTGAACTTGATGAAGGCGGAGCTGGTGGCCCAGTCGCCTCGCTCATTGGCGATATAGTTCTTCATACCGGTGTTCGGGTCGATTTCGAGCTCGACAGCACGAACGGGTGGGCGCAACCGCTTGTCATATTGGCGTGCATCTTCGTTATCGGCATAGTCTTTAGGGTTACTATGGGGGGGAAGACAATCAGTACAACTTATCAAGAATAGACCTCAAGCTGGACTTACTCGATATGTTCCTCAGGACGGTAAACACCCAATCGATCCGAAGTCACCTCAAATTCACCCGTAGCATAGCCGAAGCTCAGGAACGATAGGACCCACACCAAAACACGGATTGTATCGGCCTGCAGATTTTTAAGAGTTCCAACATCCATTGCCTGCGAGCTATAGAAGCAGTCAGAATATATGGATCTTTTGATCTTTTGATTCCTTGATAACTCACTAATCACGCAACCAGTTACCAAAATACACACGCTTGACCATGGTAGAGGTCCATTTGTGTCCAGAGATGAAAGCCAGCGTCTTGAGGACATCTTCGATATCACCATGGCGCCAGTTCTTGCCCTCGACGGCGGAGATAGAGGCGATATTTCCAGCTCCAAAGGCGTGTACTTGTGGGAGTATCAGGAGCAGTACTAGCAGGGCGGAGCCCGCGTGGAGGAGGGGCATGGTGGGGGTGATATTTGCGTGGTATTTTCCTCTCAATGTGAGGGGTTAATATGGAGTACCTCAAAAGAGTAGAAGCCAAACAAGCAAGCAAAAAGGGTTCCAAAGGGAAAAAAAGTCAAGTGCGATCCCAAACTGTGGCAGAGGACTCAGCCCTCGAGCTCTTGGCTATTCTTGGCATTCGGAGATCCCCATGACGTGCATGTTTTGAAACAAGAGATTACATTAAACGAGGTTGTTATGTTTGATTTTAGATAATTAATTATTGCAAATCAAATATTATAGTAAAGATATGCAGATGGATAAAATCATACTAGTTAAGTATGTATGTATACAGACCTAGGTAGCATGTAGTATGAGTACCAAAGAAAGGTCACATCTGGAGATCCATGGTAGTATCGTTCCAAATAAATGCGACACCGTTGCGTCGTATTGTTGTTTTCTGCATTTTAGCCTATTTTAACCCCGCAGATATATATTTCAACTTTAATCTCCGGATACTTCCTAGATCTCCAGATACTCATGATCGGATTGTTTTAATCTCTCACCTTTTCTCTACCAAAATGTCCACCCCAAACCTAGACGCCCTCAAACGTGATGGCTTTGTAGTAGTTCGCAACCTCTTGACCCCAACTGAGGTATCGCACTACCGCGAAATCGCCACAAAAGCAACAACCCTTACTCGCAACGGAAGCTGGCCACACTTCCGTACCGTCCCGAAACAATTTCCACCCTGGCCGACAACCGTACCACCCGCCTCGGAGGGCGGAATCTGGGGCGTGCAGCACCTAATGCACCCCGAAATGCCAGGACGGGAGAGTTTCGCGCGATGCTACTTCTCTCCCACGATTCTCGCCGTAGCGGAGGAGCTAATGGGCGTTGAAAATGCCGCCAGCAGCGAGACTGAGCCGCTCGTCATGGAACTGTTCAATCTGCTCGTGGCGCCGGAAACCAAAGACTTCGAGCTCCGCTGGCACCGTGATGATATCTCCGAGCACGCGACTGCCGAGGAAGAACTTGCACAGCTTGCAGCTAAAGCGCCTGGCGGCCGACAGTCGCATTGCCAGTATAACTTGGCGCTGTGTCCTGATGCATCGCTGATTGTTGTGCCGGGGACGCATGCGCGTGCACGCACTCAGGTCGAGCGTGAGGCCGATCCTTATGCGGCTGAGTTGCCGGATCAGTTAGTTGTTCAGTTGCAGCCTGGAGATGCGGTGTTTTATAATAGTAATATCTTGCATCGTGGAGTGTATCGGGGGAAGAGTGAGGGTGGGGTTGAGACGAGGCTGACTTTGCATGGAAGTCTTGGGTTGAAGGCTTCTGGGGATGGGGGTGATGATGTTGAGGAAAAGAAGAAGGTTAGGGCTACTGCGGTGCTACAGCATGGGGTTGGGGCTTGGGTTAATCGTGAGGATGCTGCTTTTGGGATTGGGGAGAGGGCTGAGAGGATGAGGGCTAATCTTGTTGAGATGGGAACTGGGGAGGGGGTTGGGTTTTCTTTGCAGGGGTAGATTTCTCAAATTTCCTTTGGGAAACTATGAATATTGTTGTTTTCTGTTCTACCGCTGCGTCTGGTTAACTTATGTATAGAGCAGAATGTACAAATGATGAAGCTTTACACGTGCGGGCTTTCTATCCCACCTCGATCAAGGGCTCTAGATGAAGGCTCGATGTCTGTTTCTTCCTTTTTATTGCTCAAGTCTACTCGTATTGCTAATAGGTCGGACGTTTCTCCTTGCTCTTTAAATCTTTGGCAGTGATGCTCTCATCAGGCAGGATCACACCTGCACCTATATACAAAAGTAGACCCACATTCAGTCACGTGTCAATAGCTTCGGATGTTAGGTTCCACGCTAATCCGTATTTAGTCTAGTTCAAATGTCCCTTGGCCAGACGGACTCCACTCGGCAACTATCAACCACACATTCTTCAATGCTAGCTTTATCCTTGCTCTGAGTCAAGCAATTCTCTGATGAACTGCGCAAATGACCTGAAATTTAATTATACCAGGTAGTATCAGTTCCGGCATGGCAATTAGCAAGCGAAAGCCTGTTCTTGGCAGCAAGACAAACCGACACATCCGACAGAGGACTCAATGTCAGTTTAGTGCCATCGCCTGTTACCGCCACATGCCAGACCTGGGAGTCTGAGGCACTACATCTCTCAAAGGTAATAGAATCAGTAGAAGCAGTCATACAAAGATCAGACGGAGTACCAAAAACAACCCCGCTAGGGGTAGTCTTAGTGCAGCTTTCAGGCAGTGAAATACGGTAGACCTTGGCAACATGAGAATCGAGCTGGATCTCGATAGTAGAGCCGATAGTTGAGACCTCGTCGGCGACGAGATCGCGTGCATCATACTTGTAGCTAGACTGAGACGACAGACCGAGGTGCGCGAGGGAGGCGGTCGTTGTGGCCGCATTGGCTCCGCGATTCAGCACGGTCAGGAGTCCGTCTCCGTTCTTCAGGGAGTGGCACAGTAAGTCAAAGATGCCAGCCGCAGGTCAGGTTCCCAGAATCTTGGTAGATGCCGAGGTGGAAGCCTTTGCTTTTCATGTAGTCGGCGAGCCAGGGGATGCCATGCGGGAACTTGTCGGTGTCCCGCTCTAGGGAACCATAACCAGCACGGTTGTGAAGTATCCAGCAGTCATCCAGCAGTCATCCAGCGTAAGGCGGTCATATTCTACGTCGAGAAGACCGCACTTTAGCATTGCTTGCGCTGTTCCGGTCAAGAGCGTCTCGTTTAGATCGCACTTGAAGCGTGCCCAATTGTTGAACCCAATTGGGGGCGCTGGGGCTAAGCTTGGGTTCTCAGTGAAGGCTCGTACTGGTAGCAGTGGGAATATCAGGAGGCCGACCATGCCCGGGCCGTCCAGCTTGTGGGCGAGAGTGGCTTCATGGTGTCTTTGCAATAGGGGAGTATAGGCAAGGTGAGATAAGATATAATATGCTTTGATGGCGCAGGCTTATAATCGGCGGAAGCGTATGTTGCACAGCATCCCTGGCCATTCTATGCTATCCAGGATCCTTCGCTCAACTTTTTTTACTTCCTTCACTGGATCACCTTCAAGGATTCCCCGCACCGACGTCGCATCTGCAACGCACTGGGATCTATAGTAATCGCGGTGGGTTTGAGAATTGCGACGGTAACATCGACATATAGCATCTTTGATGAAGTAGTATATCTGCATATAACACAAGAGTTGCTCGGAGGGAATATGAATACTCAATCTAACTCCAAGATCTGCAAGACCCGCCGATCTTCACGAGAAGACAATTCCAAATTGTATCCAATCAGAGTACGGCAGACCCTCGGCTGAGAGCTAAAGAGAGAAAAATTGGATCTGAAATACGATCCATCACATTTCCCCCTTATGAATATGTTGTGGCACAGCTGAACCTGCATGGACTGGGATGCAAAAATCCGGACTTTTCTGAGTGGAACCCCCCGCCCTGAACTTCAACGGTTTCTCCGATTTCTCCGATTATCCTCTGGGGAATTGATATTCGAAACATTATTGCACCTGCAATACTACCTCGATAGAGTGGTATTCTCGTAATGCCCTCAGAATCCAAGACAAAGATACGCCCGCAGCAGTCGTGCCTCAGATGTCGCGAGCGCAAAGTGAAGGTACCCAGATAGCTCTATCTCTCGACACTCCCACGTTACTATCTCTACTCCCACATTTTAGTTAACCCGCAAGCCACTAATCACCCCTCTCTCATAGTGCGACCGCTCTATCCCATGCCACACCTGCATAATCCGCGGCCTCGAAGCAGAATGCACCTACCTAACAACAGCCGAAGATCGCGCCCACATTACCCAATCCGAGATAATCGACCAACTACGTCGCGAAGTCGCACAACTCCGCGGACGCCTGGACCAAGGTCCAGGAGAGCCCGGTCATAGCCAGAATCAGAACCAGCGCCAGCGCCAGCGCTCGCGCCCGGACCAAGCAGCCGGGCCTTTCCCGCGGAACGGCCAGAGTTGGACACAACATGCGCCTGCGCACACAGGCTACAACTACGACAGCCATAGCCATAGCAATGGCTCTGGGTATGAGGCTGGCGCTGGCGCTGGTTTTGCCTCAGCTAGAGGTACCCCGGATACTGGTGAAGGCAGCTGGCGCGGGTCGTCGCCATCCTCGTCGATCACGACCATGACAAACTCTGTGACTGTTACAAGTCCTGACAGTACGGGGAGTGAGAATGGGACTGGGTCGATGTCCACTTCGTCGCGGTCGGCTTCTGCTTCTGCTTATCCTATCGCGACGGGGTATGCGCCGCAAGTTGCGGAGCTAGACGGGTCGGCTACAGTTGAATCACGTGCTTTTGGAAGTATGTTTTGCTCTCGTTCCACTTGTTTTTGGCACATGTGCTAATATTGAGTAGGTACTCTAGAAGATGCGACAATGTCTGGATATTATACAGGAGGCATGACCTTCACCCCGGGGGACATGCCCGGAATAATCCCAGTACCGATGCAGGGTCTCTCGGTGCATGGCTTACACGCGCAGGATGCGATGTTAGGGATGCACCACCCGCCGCTATACGGAGCCAATAGCGATGATTATATGTTTGACGGAGGCAAAGCACTGCCATACTTACAACACACTAGCTATCCCGCACCCATACCAACAGCAACAGCAACACATTACGGGGAGGAATATTCAATATCAAATCAAGATAATAGGCCTCACGCATATCATCAATGGGGGCAAGATGCATATGGGAATCCGAATTTGAATCCGAGCCAATTTCCGCATACACATATATACCAAACCACATCTCATTATTCAACTATCAACCCCTTCATCAACACCACCGCCACCAACACGAACATGAACGTCTATGCAGATGCATCCTTTTCCCTACCAAACCCAACGCCCATTGCAGGCGATATTTCCAGCCTTACCAGCCCTAGTTCCCAGGACCGACCTTCACCAACAACCATCATGAACTCAATGCCAAGCTCCTGGAAGGGCGAGGGGAAACAAGAACTGCTTGAGGTCCTGCTGGAAACAATTGCTAGCTGTGACGAGCAACGTTTACCTCAGGTGATTCAGGTCTTGCGGACAAGTCCTTCACCCGAGGAGGCTGTTTCGGGGGTTTGTCAGGTTCTCGGGATTGGGACAGGGCGGTGACAACGGTGTAAGCCCACACTCAAACTGAGTCCCAGACTCGGGTCTAGGTCTGATGTTGTGTGCACATGCCAAATGCGTTGGAATCGAGTGGTTCGGGACAGGGTCAGAGCTGGATCTCTGGAACCCCCACTCAGTGGATATTTCAACCATATAGCCCGGGTTGCTGGTCGATACCGGGCAAGTAAAGTCAGAGTGAGATCGTCTGAGACAGAATCACTGCGCTGCACCAGGTCATATTCCCATCCTCTCATACTCCACGATATCGTTCACGCGCACATGGATATGAACATAAATGAAGCAAACAATCTAGCACATAGAAGCTTTGTACATTAATGCGCAGAAATATAAATGTCAAGCCGTGATTCATGTCGACAGCGATCGGAGAAGTCGATAGGGACATAAGTATTCTCAATCTCAGCTGTAGCTTTAGGTTGTGGGGTATCATTATCATTATCATAATCATCGTTGTCACAGTCCCAAGTCTCAAGATGCCTCAGAACCAGTGGATTCATCGTCGAAAGGCCGCTGTCCGTAGACAAAGTGAAAGCGCACATAGAGGTGGTGCGAGTTGCTCATCAACTCCGCCCGCGCGTTCTCAATATGTTCCTGTGCTTCCTGGTACGAAAGCCCTAGGACACGGGTGAAGAGAGCTAGCGAGTATGGCTCGAGAACTTCCATGATGGACACCTTGCCAATACGACCCATTTCTTTGTAGCGGCGGTTCTTGGGCCAGCCACCAATAGGACCCTGGAAGTAAGTCAGTAGGTGAACCAACAGCCGGAAAAAGCAGTGGTCATACCTTGTAAATATCATCGGTCACATTCGCAAACCCCTGCTCAACCATCCACTGCGCGAGCTTCGTTGCAACATCCATTGGTTTTCCAAACTTCTTACTAGACTGAGTCAACATTTCTGTCCAGTTATTAGTGGCAGTAGCGCGCTCATTAGTTCCATCGTCAGAAAACACGCAACTCTCAAACTCCTGCGCCTCAAACCAGCCACCTGGTTTCAGATGTTGATAAGCCTGCTTGAGCAGCCTCGGCCAATCCCCAATACCACCGGCCAAAGTTCTTGCATGGATATAGTCGAACGTTTCACCGGGCGAGAAAGTCCAATCACTCTCGGCATCATCAATGAAGAAGCGGCAGTTGGGCGGCGCCCAGTTTGGCTGGATGGGGCTGAGATCGGTTCCGATGATATCCGCTTGCGGGTAGTCTTCGGCCATGTCCAGGGCCCATTCGCCAGGGCCGGTGCCGATATCTAAAATATGCCGCGGATTGGAGTTGCGTATTGGTGCGCGGTACAGATCCCCGCCTGTGAGCAGTTTGAAGAGGTGGTGTACTAATGCTAGGCGATCTTGTTCTTCTTGGTCGTTTGGGAAGGGGTATTGGCCGTTGCGGTAGGCATGGTAGCGGCGGCCATTTTCGTAGTTGTAGTCGCGGACGGATGAGGCAAAGGAAAGGTTTGAGCCTGAGATTGTTTGGATTTCAAAGAGAGAGTCGTCATCGCTTGTCTGGGGGTCGTTAGTTCGATTTGAGGATTTATTGAAGGGTTTAGATTATAAATTAGGAGGAGTGGGAATTGGAGTTGCGAGATCGGCGGGGAGGGTGACATTTAGGGGCTGGCAGATATAAGGATATGGGGTAGGAATGGAATCAAAGAAATTCATGGGTGAAAGTGAATGATCTACTCACGTCGACTTGGATGCGTTCATCGAGATTGGGTTGTGACATGGCGAGACAGGGAAGGTATGAGATACTGGGAGGAGAGAGGCAGATGTAGGAAAGAGAGAGTTGGTTTTTTTTTTCCTCCCGTGAAGGAAGTAGAAGAGGGGATGTGAAATGAAGCTATCAATTCCAAGGAAACCCGAGGAAACTAAGAAACCCGAGAGAGAGGATACCGGGAGGAACCCTAGCGTGGCCACTTATTTTTTTTTCTCTTCCACCTGGCTGGTTCCGTACCTTTGCTTTTGTTAACCCCGCAATAGGAAATCCGACAGCCTGGTACGGGGAAGTCGCCCATTCCAAATCGGTCTGTGGCGGGATTTGGATTTTCGATTAGCGTATTTCCAAGGTTCCAAGGTCAGTCCCGGGATCTCAACCCTGGTTGACTGGGACTAGGGGTACCGCTGGCCTGGGCACTCTATACCTGCACTGAGTGCCTTGGCAAGGACAAGGATTTCGTAGGGGGTTTTCATGACATGGAGATTTCGCCAGGTGTGGTATTTGTCGGTGAAAATCCAAACAGTAACTCGACATGCTACTGTGATCTGCTGGACAAGTTTCTGCATATGTAATATGTGAATTTACGTCACATCCATGGATAGGGCCGATAGTATCCGCACTTTACATATATAGACATCATTGAGTTCTCGAAATGCTCTCATAATTTATGCCATGAGGCCATGAGACTTCACATGATATTCATGTGATATGCTGATATCATCATGATCTCTCCACACTTATCTAAGAGATAGAAATATCTACGGTCTTGAAGCTCTTTACATGATCAACGAAGAAAATTAGAGGTTCTGCCAGGTGTGTGAAGGCGGAGAGATGGAGGGTTGACCGCTGATTATCCACAGCAGCCCATTGTCTTAGAATAATAATGCCATCATCGACCCATCTTTGCAATCCCTCCTGTAGAGATCAGATATCGTCTCTAGAATTATTATCTGCCCCGAACGGAGTCCCTCTACGGGAGGTATTCCGAAACATGGACCTATCACTGCCTATCTTGTGGGTACGCGATTAGCTATCGTTCTCCCTAGACAAGAAGATACCGAGCATGTGAGTCTAAAGTCCGAATTAAGGATTTTTTTCAGACTCGCCATTTTAGTACATTAGACCCCAAATGGTACCCAGTGGTGAAATATTGCTGTCACCAAGGTTGACCGGGCCCTTAAATTAGCTTTCAACATTTAAAGCGATAATGATGCTGAAAAGCTCGCCGCTTGGTACGGAATGGTCAGCAATAATCCCGCCAAGGTCTTCTTATTTCATGATGACCGGTGGTCGTTCTAGATGAAGCATTTCAGAAACGAGCGACGTGGGAGCTAAGATGTTTCTCCCAGAGAAAGGCGCAGGGACTTCGAGACGTTCAAAGGTTGCCCCGCGCTGCGAAATCCATGGAAAATATAGGCTTTAGGCGAACGGGTCGGTCCTTTCGGTCCGCACCGCCAAATCCGTCTCTTTCATTGCCATATTTTTAAACATCTATAATTTCTCGAATACCGCTGAGAGTCATACTAAAAGCAAGATCTTTGTGTCAATGCAAAGCTTCAAAATATCGGAACTATGGCGATGGACTGGAGAGGTGTCCGGGGTAGAAAGAATAGATAGCCTCCTAGGCCCTAGAGGCTGACTTAGTAACAACAATATTAGAAGCCACGAGTGCGATTGGTAACCCACTAGGATTGCATTCACTCTCGCTGTGAATAGTCTCGCTCGCTCTTGGAAATTCACTATCACCCATCCAGCCGCCTCGCGGGGCTCTTAGATTATGATGGCATCTTATAAGACGTAGTTTGGATAATAATGAAATGCCTTCATTCAAAATTTTATACATCCTCATCGCATTGATGGATGCTACCTCCTCACTAGAAGCAAAATAATTAATACCGGTTGCCACATCGATGATGCCATATAGATAGGCTCCCATTGAGGGGAGGCAAAAGTGCTAGAGACTGTACAATAATGGAGGGGACTAGCGTGGTGCGTTTTAGATACCTGTCCATCCATGGATGTTTATTGAAATTGGTTGAATAAGCCACCATCATCTCCAGGGAGCCCTGGAGGTAGTGGCGTGCTCAGTTTCACCAAGTGACCATGAAGCGGTAAAGGGTAAGCACTAATACAGAAAGGGAAGCCAACAAACGCCTAGGCAGGGACTGTAGGTATGCCCAACCTAAATTAGATAGAGCCCAACTCGGTTGCAAATATTCGTAAAGAATCGAAAATTCGCTAGAAGAAGCACAAAGACAAAGGCAAAAAGAGAGGCAGAACTCCAAGCAAGGATCATCCCTGGACTTGGACCCGCCTGTCTGGTAGGTCCCCACGCGGGATCCATAAACCCTCGGTGGTTTTGACTGGAAGGAATAATGGGGAGCATCTGCAGAGAACAAGGGTGTCCATGCTCGTTGCTTCACTTTTCTATGGGTACATATGTAAATATGTATTTTTGTTTCGAGTTACGTAGATTGCTTAAAATGAGGGACAAACTTTGAAAGTCACTTATATGTATACATGAATGTATATCCCCTCGAATTATTTACTGTTATCTCTTCAGAGCCTGAAGATTTCAAGTGGCTAGACCTCTAGCCCAAAGTTACTTCAACAAAGAAACAGAATGTTTCAGGTGAACATACTTCGTACGGCACATGGAGCCGGAGCACACGAGTCACTTTTGCCCTTGGAAGGAAGGCGCAAACAAAGAACTACCATTCGCGGACAACCCCAATTCAATCCAGGGTGGAACCTTCCAGGGTCTCTACTACAAGGATTACCAATACTTATTCTACAGTACGGTAGGTGGCAAGAAAAAAGAAAAAGAAAAAAGGTATGTTTACGCCGTACAAGTCCTTGTATGTTTTATTGACATCCATGCATCAAACCATTAATCACCCGGGCCCAAGGAAGGGTACTCGCAACCACAGCCTCGAGTGAGATTTCATCGAGCTTCCCTCACAGACTCTGCAGCTTAGCCTGCTCATCCGGAGTCAGCGCCGCATACACTTCTTGGAAACCAGGCTGCGTGGAGGCCTGTCGGAAGAAATCCGCCAGGAAGCTCTGCGTTTCATCGTCTCGGCGACGCACACCAAAGACACTCTCGGAGCCACCCTCGCCGAAGCTCATTAGCCCCTGTTTCGTAGCTCCGATGCCGAGGTCTAGGACTTGGCCGGGGAGATCTTCCCAGTCGTCATCACCGTCGTCACTGTCGGCTTCGTCCAGGGCTGCCGCGGTGGCGGCGTCAATTTCCTTGTTTCCGGATGCTGCGCCCAGCTCTTCGACGAGAACCTTGATGATCTTCAGTGGTGCGGGCACAGTCGTGAACTGGTCTGGGTTTTTGCGTGCCTGCGAGCGAGTCTTGATTCGGCCGGTGTCTTGAATGATGAGGTCGCCTTTGACGGGCACTTCGGCCACACGTGGGTCGGCGAGCTCATATAGCCGTGCCAGCGCAAAGATGTTCTGTTTAATCTCGTCGTAACCGGCGAAGTTGACGGAGTTCTCAAGCCACTTGCTTAGGACCACAGTGAGTCCGCTCTGGCCGCCCAGGTTTACCTGGGCCAGGAAGTCGACTACCTCGCGTGCGCTTATGAGAGTGAGTCGCGCGAAGACGAGGATAAGACTTTGAATGAACTGTGCTTGCTGTGCTGTTGCCAGTCGCTGCGCCACGGCTTGTAGGAGCTGCGGCAAGTAGGGACCGAGGCGCTCGGAGCCGGCCCGTTCGACCAACTCTGCTGCTAGCTGGCCGACCTCTGTGGCTGCGTTGTCATCCACGGCCGGGCCCAGCAGGCGGTCAATGATCACCAGCACTACTTCAAGAGCTTCCTTTCCAGACTGAGGATCACGCCAGACAACGAACTGCGCAAAGTCGTGAGAGAGCATGTGCCGTACGGCCTCCGTGGCGGGCCGGATCAATTCGGCCTCATCAGAGTCCAGCAGCAGGCGGTTCAACTTGGGCATCACCGTCTCCACAAAACCAGCGGGCATCGGTTCGGGACTCCGCTCGGCCAGAGCGCGAAGAAGATCGGCTGCGAAGTTTGTCAAAGCATTCTCTTCAGTCAGGCTGCCCACATCAATCGCACCCATCAATGATGGAAGCACCTTCTCGCAAAGCCGCATATAAGAATCGGGGCCATTGTCGGTAATTTGGTCCACAATATCTTCAAATGCCTCTGTGACAGTCAAGGTCAGTTGGAAGTTCTCGGCTCCACTACTAGCAATGTTGAACAACACGTCAATGGCAGTAGAAGACAGAACCACACTAGAATCGGCCATAATAGTGTCCCGGAGGGTTTCTGCCAACGTAACCTTGAGATCATCAGAGTCTGTCTGTTCACGAAGGTCGTGTGCAGAGATGAATTCTGAAATGGCCGCAATCACTGCAGGCTGGAAGGGGCGGGCCAAGCCCGTCGGCAAAGCGGGCATCAGATCTTGTAGCACTCGGATGCAGGCCACTTGGACCACCTCGGAGGGGTCTTCGGCAATTGCCTTTAGAGTAGCCTCCAAATAGGATGATGTGGTCTGTTGGAATGCCTCGCCAGCAACCTTGGACAAAGCGCCAGCCACAAGATAGCCGCGAGCGCGCAAGAGCTCCTGTTCTTGTTGGGTCGCATATTGCACGAATTGGGTGAAGTGGGATGCGAGCTCAAATGAGATCTCTTGGTCTACTTCACCAAAGTCTCGGAGCAAACAGTTGAGAATGTATAGGGAGGCTTCTCGTGATTTCCATCTATTTGAGTCATGGTCAATATAATTTCACAGCCGAAATGTATAGTGATACTCACGAAACAGACGAATCAGCAAAGATGGTGTTCATGTAGGTCAGGAGACCCTCGGCGGCTGTACTCTTCAACCATTCACCAGCCTTGATAGCTAGATCCCCGCTGCAAGTTCGAGGGGTGTAGTTGGCCGTGACAGAAGTTTCCTCCGAGAGGAAAAGGTTCACATCAATCTCCCATAGAGCCTCCTCCTCTGTTGTAATCTGTGCATAAGAACTGGCGAGCTTCATA